TTTTTAACTGCTTTTTCTTTAAAATCCACTACGGATTGTTAATAGTTTAATTTTTACACTGACAGTTTATTTCCAAATAGTTATGAGAAGACCACCTAGTAGGAAAAAGGAAAGTTTCTAGAATAGGAAATTCAATAAGTGAACAACATTATTAGCCATATAAATTTAACACGGAATTAGAGCACAAACAGTTCACCTCATGTTGTTCCACCATCAAAACTATTTTGCCTAGTACAATAATACAAAAGTTATATGATCAGAATAAGTTAAAAGGAAAATTATGCTCCTAATATTTTTATATCGTATGCCTTTTGTCCTATCTTTGGCTCTATATATATGCATCTATCAGGGGCTGCCAAACATACCATGCTGCAGTGCTGCACTAACAATAAATATTTGTGAAGTATCATTATCACACAGCCTTCTCCCTCTCAAGACTAGGATTGTTAGTGTGATAATATGGGGGATAAACTACGGATAGCTGTTGGAATATTGGGTACATCCCTACACTCTAACCATGTTAACTAGATGAGTAACTCAAAAGGTTTACCATATATCTTATCTTGTGCAGGAAATTTGGCTTCTGCATTACTTTACGCATCACCCATGTACTGTGAACCTCCACCCAATTGTATCATCGACTTATATTTTTTGTCTTCTTTTTCTCCATGATCAGAAGATATCAACTTGCCATATAACTTCAAATTTCTATGTTTTCCCAGATTAACATTTTCAACGGTCATAAAGAAGAAGAGCACTCAAGGGTTTTCATATGTCCCGTATAGTGTTGCTCTACTCAACGCTCTCATTTACACTTGGTACAGCTTACCTATTGTAAGCAAAGGATGGGAAAATTTCTCCCTCATCACCGTCAATGGCCTAGGTTTCCTACTGGAATCCTCCTATGTCCTCGTCTATCTTTTCTTCTCTTCACCGAAGGGAAAGGTCAGTCCATACAAACATCCTTGGAATATTTTGATACTTCTAGGAGTCAGAAACCTTTTTTTTTTCTTTTTCACACAGTTTGGGAAATAAATGAATAATGTTTATCATTTAAGCAACATATTAATTAATATAAAAAAAGTCGGTCCAGGCTTGCATGAAGATTATGAAATATTTTCCATGACATGATGCAGGTAAAAGTTGCAGCAGTGACACTGACCTTTCTTGCACTATTCGTAGCCACAGCATTAATCTCTGCCTTTCTGTTGCACGATCATCATAAAAGGAAAGTATTTGTTGGAAGTACAGGGTTGATAACTTCAACAGCACTGTATGGTGCCCCTCTTATCGCTGTGGTGAGTCTTCAAAGCTCATCATACTGTCTTGAATTAAAAAACAATGAGTCCGGTTTTCCAAATCTAACAGAAATGCTAATTGGCTAAAGCACTATATGAATGCACAGAAGCAAATTATCATGTAACATGAAATCTATCATGTTTCGACATACACTTCTCAACAAATAACAATTCATTGGACCCTTTGACAAGGAATTAACATCTTACCTGGATATACTGCAGAAGCAAGTGATAACAACCAAAAGCGTGGAATTCATGCCATTTAGTCTGTCACTCTTCACTCTGCTTGCGAGTTGCTTCTGGGGAGCTTATGGACTACTGAGTCACGATCTCTTTATCATGGTCTGTGAAAGCCCAGTAATCTTCACTTTCCATAAAATCCTTTTACATTTAACATAGCTTCGTAAACTGCTTTGTGATTTTTCTAATTCGAATCTTAACCACTTGGCAGTCACCTAATTTAGTTGGAATTCTCTTTGGCATCCTGCAACTGGTGGTTTATTGGAAATATAAAGGAAGAGGAATAGAGGAAGACACAAACAAATGGGACATAGAGAAGAACAAAGAGAAGCCCAAACAAGTGCAACAACTTGTAACTGAAGACGAGACAAAAAGCAAGAATTGAATTGTGCATACAGATTTATATTTACACATGTAATCTATGTATGCCACACTGCGAATATAGGTCGCAATTGCTTAATATGGTAACAAACAACTAATGGAAGAAATCTTTGTTCCTAGATAAGAAACTCCAAACAAAAACAAGAAATTTGAAATTGAGTGCTTTTGTACTTGTGATAGGTATCAAAGTAGTCATATCTAGTACTATATTCCCGTAGAAGAAAATAGGTACACCCATGGGCGACTACCTTACTGCCTTGCTAATCTTGACATCGCTGTAGATGAACAAACTAACTTGAGTGTTATTCTAGAGTAGAGTCATTCTAGACTGTCTTCCTGTAAACATGAATAACAGGAAACTTATTTAGCATCCCTTCTTTATGAGTAGCACATCAGATTATCAGACGCAACTAACTGATAAAATATTCCACTTAATAAGCAAGATGAACAACAGAGGAAATGGAGCTATAAAAATTCTATTAGCAATTGTTATAAAAATGCAGGTATATAATTAGCTAACCTTCATATGCAAGTTTAAGTTTCAGGGTAGTAGACAGTTCGTTGCTCATGGCTACCAACTAACAAGTCTATGAATCTATAATTAAAATAAAATTTTGGCGGAATCTTGCAGCCTTGCAGGACCACCTTTGCTAATGCCAACAACAGATTAACAAAGAAAGAAACTTTAGTGCTTATTTTGGTACAAAAGATATTGTACAAGGTTTTTTCGATGGCACAAGACTATGATGAGATAGTTCTATATTAAAATTCTAAGAATTAAAGATATTTGACCTTCCCTAATACATTATCTGATATTGATAGGTAAATGATTGAACCAGTTAGGAATGAATAAAGTCAGAATGGCCAATAGCATCGAATTTTAAGGCTTGCACCCGGGTTAACAGTCAACACAGATTCTATCAACATTTCAAGCATTAAACAAAACAACATCTAGTCCTGTTATTTGCAAATAGGTTCAGTTTCATGACATTGAAGAACAGCTATATAATCACCAATATCAAATTATCAATAACTGTAAAAGTACCATAAAATCCATAATCAATCGAATGCCATAGAAGCACACGCAATTGATCACAAACCCATAGCATGAACACTATATTGTCTAATCAAAGTTTCATAAAATCAATTGGGAACTTAGAATATGACATTAAATCAAGAAACAACTTACATATAGTTCATTTGGCCACACAAACTCCGACAATAACATACTTCCTATACGTGCACCTATTTTGACTTTTAAATTTGCCAAGGAAACAACTTTGACCATTAAGAAAGAATTAATAATAGTTGATATTTTGAAAATATGCATTGAAATTAACCCAAAAAATAATTAAAATAATGATCAAAGTTGTATATGAACAGCATTTAAAAGTCAAAATGATGCATATATTAAGAAACGGGGGAGGTGGGATTAACTCGTTGCAATGTACTTGGTACGAGATCAAAGCAAACAAAATTTAGAAATTAATTTGTATACCTCATCTTGGGACTGGTGTATCCAGTAAGCAGTGTTTTGCAGGTGACTAAAGCTTGTTTAGGCATTTCGTCGAACAGTTGGGGTGCAATCGCCGACATTGAAAGAAAACTTCGCTACTAAGGTAGATTCACTTCGGTTCAATTTTTGGTAGTTTTTTTTTTTTTTTGTTTGGTTGGTAATAGAGCTGGTTAATGGGTAGGGTAGTCCAATGATAATAGCATCAGGGCCAAGTTTAAAGGGTTTTTAATGAACAGTGCTTATAACGGATAGGGCCCTTATTGGGTAGGGTCAATATAGGGTCAAAATGTTTTTCCAATTTAATAGACAAACATAATAGATAATGTAAAAATAATTACATAGATAAATTTGTATTCATATATAATTAATAATGGCTTTGTTCAATATTTATTTTAATTGATATTTTGTTGGCCCACCCATTATCGACCCGCTATTGATCCGCGACTCGCATAGACCCGATCTGCTATTGACCCTATAAAATATGACCGTCTTTGACCCAACCCACAATTACTAGGTCTAGTTGGTAAGGAGAAGGGCCCTACCGGACCGGAACCTCTCACAGGCCCTCCCGGTCCGAGTTAGCGGGCTTTAACTTTGAAAGTGAGGGGATGGGTAAGGGAATTCCCACCCCAAAGTGACTCTAGAGGAGTTTGATCCCACAATTATGAACTTGTGAGATACAAACTTTACCACTAGACCAAGTTATACTTGGTAAAAATTTAAAAAAGTTAAAAATATTGTTGATAGAAAGACTTGAACCTGCGTTGCAATTGACAACATAAGCATACCGCACCATTGTAACAACTACACAGATCGGTTCAATTTTTGGTAGGGGGTTATCAACATTTCGAAGCAAAATGAAATGTAAGGTTCACGAGGATTATGAAGTGAGAATGCAAGGAAAACTATACTCCCTCTGTGTTTTCCAATAATTAAAGATATTATAATGGTCAAAATTTTGCATCAATGTGTTTTTCGATAGTTAAAGATATTATAATGGTCAAAATGTTGTATCTATAGATGTGGTCAGAGACCACTTAAATAAAAACTGAAAAAGTAAAATGTGGATATGTACGATAGTACGAAGTATTCTGAATGTTTTAAAACGCGTTTAAGAAACTATGAAAAGTCAGTGAGACAAATGAATAGGAACAGAAAGAGTATGTTATTTAATATAATGAGATTAATGTTCTTAACTATGCTATTTGTACATTTCTTTAGATAGATAAGACGAACTACTTGGACCAAAAACTCTCACAGGTTAATTCAATCGAGTTTACAGGTTAGCACTTTACGATCAAGGAGAAGAATAAAAAGTGTCCCTAATAAGGATTAAACCCCAAGGCTCAATCCTTATTACTAGGCAGCCGAATTGATGTACACCTCGGTCAGTAATGGAGGCGTCATTTAACAATTCCTTAAATAAACCACCTCCTCGTGCGCATTAAAAGCTTTGAGCTAATTTTAAAAAGAAAAATACAAAGTGTAAAATTAATAAAACGTGTCAAACCAATGTAAATCTTACACTTAGCTTGTATTGGTATACATATAAGCACCCTACTTCCATGCATGAAGACACGTATCACTTCAACTTCATGAATTTAGCTTCTCACCATCACTATTATATCATTATTTATTCTCTCTTATCATCATCATATAAACTTTATGTCTTATGATAATCTTTTCTTCATAAAGTTATCATATCAAACCATCCAAAATTTAAAAAAAATAAAATAAAAATGGTGAAACTAGCAAGTGCAAGAGAGAGCAGGCTATATGGGCCAAGACTAGCAAGAAATCGATCAGAATACATGAATGCTGGGCTATACTTGTTTGGTACAATCGTGTTATTAATGGGCTTTATAGCCCAATTCTCTAAGGAGCCCAAATCTGGCCTTCTCCTACTATTGATCGGTTATTTTCTTATCACCGCCGTTAATGTTCATGATCTGGTGGCCCACCTTGCCGGAATCGATTTCCGGTTGCCGTTGATGGAGTTTGATATTCAGCTTGCTCTTGTTGAGTTTGCTGTTCCTGTTGTTCAGATTTTTGGCTCACTTTTGTCTTTATTAGGCATCCTTTTCCTACTCATTCTGGTATGTTTTTTTTTAAACTTATTTTGTTACACTTGATACTCGTGTCGTATACGAGTATATACCCCCGTTACCTAACTATTGCAACTTGCCAACGTGCTAAAATTTGATACCCTTAATGATATATGCAATTCTTAAGGATGCAAATAAGCATGTAATATTATTATTAAATTTAGGAATATTACTATTGATATTTTGAAAGTGTTTACTAAGATGAACCTAACCAGAGTATGTTTTATTTTCCAACATGTAAAATAGACTGTATTAATTAATATGTTAAATGCATGGTCAAATGGGAGTGTGAAAAATAGTTCAAAAGTTTAAATTTTGCAATATTCATAGAACCGTGAAATATATCTTATATTTAATCAATTTTGTTCTTACTTTTAATTTACATAGCTAAATAGCTAATGCCATTAGGAAATATCTTGTGTCTTCCCATTTTGATGGTTTGCTTAAATTGAAATATATTATAAGTAATTTATTAAACTTGGCATCGGTTCTTCCGCCGCAATGACAAGATATTTGATTTATTTATTTGATAGAGAGAGGAGATCACAAAGAGGATATTTTTTGATTTATTTATTTAATTAATAGAGAGAGGAGATCACAAAGAGCAATAATATAGACGGGATTCAATTTCGCATAGTTTTGACTCCACAAAAGATTTATTGATAGTGGATATAGATGCAGCTAAGGCAATGTGGGTAAATTCTCTTCTACTAAATAACACGAGCACAAGACTACAAGAGCACCTTGACCACTAATTAACCCAGTGAAGATTTAGTAAGTAAGAAGCAAAGTGGAGATCTTTTTATGTATGTTATCTGTAGTATTCTAATTAGGATTTCTTACAACACTAATTACCTGCAGGAAGAGAAGGGTGTTTATTACAGCAGTTTAGAAAAGCATGCCTTGAATATGCTGATTGCCGGGCCAGTTTTATGGCTTATTGGTTCGATACACAATTCATGTCAAATCTACGAAAGAGCTGATGGCCATATTCAAATTTTGCAAGAGAGTGTCAACATTCCCTTTTTATTGGCAAGCTTATTGTTTGTGGTTGGTGCAATTCTCAATAGCCGCGAGCAATCAAGATGGATTTACCATGGCCTCATGTTACTTGTAAGTCATTTTTCCCCGAATAGTGCTCTGATTTCCCTGTCCTTTATCTTGCGAGCTAACTCTATGGTTGTTACGACCCAAATCATCAACAAGCTCCCCAAGTCTTATATTAGTTGAGGATGTTTTGATGTACTACTGATCATATAAACTACAACAGGGCTCTTCATTCTTAAATTGATGTCATGAAACCTAATAATTTGTCTGTATGTTTTTCGCTGATTAAATTATTGTACATACATTATAAATTTATGACTTCAACTAATGACATAATGTTAAAATCATGCAGGGTAAATCATGGGTATGGTTGGGCATATTTGGGAGCTTACTATTGTTCATAGGAGGATTAATGAATGTGGTGAAGGTGTTTAAGATGCAGCAAATGAATGGACTACGTTTGGAGAAGCTACGAGGAGGGGCTCAAGAAGGGTTAATTCGAGTGAGAGAAGGTCGAGTTCCTCTAATGAATGAGGAAAATCTTTCTTCTCATAGATTACAATCAGGGGCTGAGCCAAAAGGGCCTAATCCGGCAACCCCTTACAAAGATGTTCTTGTTGGTAACACTTGAATTGAAGGAGCTAGTAATATATAGCGGATGGAGCAATGTATTATGTATATGACTTTCTCCATATTGATGAACTATATATTGATGATTGTGAAATCATTTCTCGACCTATTTGAGTAACAAGTTTGTTGCTAGAACTAGTTTTAGTATGAAATGTATGCCAAAATCACCCATCGATCGGTGCAATTAATGTTTTAATTCACTATAATATCTTAACACCTTGAGAACGTTTGTTAGCTTTTGTCAATTATTTATGCCAAATTTTTTTAAGCCTCCGATTATAAGTAGGTGTGTAATAAATAAATTTTTCCGATTTCCAAAAATTAAAATAAGTGAAAATAACCCTTTTTTAAAATACTTAACTAAATAAGCACTTGACCAAGTTTGAAATAAAACACTTTAAAATATGTTTGGCTTTAGTGGTAATAAAAATCTCACCCTAAGCTCCCAGATACCACTTTGTAACACCCTAGAAATTACTTTCCGTTAAAATACCTGTTTTTCCCTTTTAAAAATATGAAATAGGAAAATCTAAGACATTACCGCCACCGTGAAAACGGCTAAGGCAAATATCAAAGACACACACAGCGGAAGACCATCTTTAAAAAACATTTAAAACAAGTCTACTTTAAAGTCAAACCAAACGAAAATAAAAACCAAACAAAGTCAAACGAAGTCAACCTACAACTTGGAACCAATGTAGGCCCTTTAAACCAAACAATTACCGAAAACCTTTGCGTTAGTCTCATGAGCATAATAAAATAAATAATATTCAAAGCAAATAAAACTCATCATATTCCTATGAGAACTAAGCATGATTCGCTCTTCACTTATGCCCTTCATGAAAAATGCTTCACCTTAAATGGGTCGTCGTTGGGCCAAGGTAAAGACAATGTCAAACAAACATACAAACACACAATCAGCAATGCTAGTACATAAGCGTAATAAAACACACTAACATGCTTTCATCCAATCATCACACAACTTACCGTGTTGCATCTGTTTACAAGCATACAAAACATTCAACACCTAACTAGACAAATACCAATGTTCATTTACTTTTGATTACACATCGAACGGGTTTCCAACCAAATCTCTGCCTCAAATATATTGAGGTAAAGTACACCGGGAGCTAACCGGTTAGGCAAATGTCACATAAAGTGACTGAACGTCCTGCGCATAAGATAAATAAAGAGGAAAATACAGCGTCCTGTACTCCCAGTAGAAGTCATGGTTAAATATAAAATCTCATAACTCCCTCAATATGTTCAAAACTTAAGGTATACACGTTCTAAGAATTTTGGTGATATTTACTTGTGCATCCATAATTATCAACTTAATTATGAATCTGCAAAAAATCAAGAAAGAAATCCGAATGAAAATATGATAATATACACAAATTCACTATGTCCAAAGTAGTATTTTGAGTAAGGTCAAACCTCAATATATGAAAGTGTCAATAATTTTTTACCAAACGGTTAACACCTAAGGGGGAATTACTCTATAGTCTATATAACATTATCATAGTAGTAAGACATAGTAGATTATTTGTTATAATTTTGTAGCTAACCTCTGTTATCTCAAGAAAGAAATAGAGGCAATAGGCTAAGAACAATACTAGATGAAAAAATCAGTTAGAATTGATAGTTTGGTAGGTATCAGTTTAGTGAAATTTTTTAGTTATGTTATATGTACTGATCATTAAGTGTTCCATGTGATTAATGCACTTACAATGGATGAATTTCTGTTCATTTTGAGTTGATGAATTCTTTCAGCTTTCAGTACTTGCTTTAGTGTTTTCTTTCTGTTAGATCTTTATATTTTGCTCATTTAGATTTTGTTTGCTCATTTTAATTCTATTTGCTCATTTTAATTTTGTTTGCTCATGAAATACAAAAACCCTAAATTGGAAACACTAAACTCTAAAAATTCAGCAAAAATTAGAATGTTAAATTCGAATAACCAAAATTAAGGGCTATCAATTTGCAAAATTTCAGAATATAAAAATCGAAAATTAAAAAATCAAATTAGTAAATTATGACAAAAATACTATTTTGGGACAAATTAAAATCAAATTAAGAGAAATTCGAACAAGATTATTTGAATTTATCAAAATTCGAACAAGTTGATTTGAATTTATCAAAATTCGAACAAGATGATTTGAAATTATCAAAATTACAAAAATCAAAACAAGAAGATTGGGAATTCAATTGAAATTACCAAAATTAAAATCAAATTAAGAGAAATCTAAAAAGTATTAACTGAAATTATGTAGTAGTGAACAAGAGGAGAGAGAAATTGTCGATCTTCAGTTGTCTCCATTGAAATCTCACCTTCAATTCAAGTTTTGTAGAGAGAGAAAGAGGAGTATACAAATTATACGTTATTGGAGTTGATGTATTTATTTTTAAGATTACATTATTGCCATTACTAGTTGAACAATCTCAGTAGTTGGATCTTGTATGATCTAATGGTTATAATTAGTTCTCATATATAATAGTGTTCTCACATAGACACTTTTTCTCACTGAATCTCTCCCCTATATATTTATATATATATTTCGAATTTTTTAATTAAACATAAAAATTGTACGGAGTATTTCCTATTTATTTTACTCCTTACGGCGCATAATACATGAGACGTTGGACTTTTTTTTCACTATTCATGCATTAGGTTTGACCATAATTTTTGACTAACCTAATAAAAATATATTTTATCATAAGATATGTTGTTAGATAGGTTTTAATATAAAGTTTCATAATGTAATTTTTAAAATAATTTTCATTAATATTTAATTTTATAAAATTAAAGTCAAAGTAGTGCATTGACATGTGTGTAATGTTTGACTATGTCATGAATTATGGGATAGAGGGAGTAAGGCCCCGTTCACTTCACCTTATTTTTGCTGAACTGAAATGATTTTTACTGAATTGAAATTATTTTTGCTGAATTGAAATTAATTTAACTGAACTGAAATTTTTTTGCTAAACTGAAATTATTTTTACTGATTTGCTGTTATATTTCTTCTTTAAAGTTACTGAATTTTACTGAACTGAAATTATTTTTACTGGACTGAAATTATTTTTACTGAATATTATTTTTGAAGGTGAAGTGAACCGGGCCTAATAGGCCTGAAAATAATCAACATTCGACCATTCGTTGCTTCCAATAGGAATTCTATCAGCCCCTTACGTGGAACTGTGGAAGTATAAAAGCGTTAGATAATAGCGTTTTTTCATAAATTCAGATAAAGATTTTTACTACTAACCAAATACTAAAACCTTTAAAAAAAAATGTTATACATAGTCCTTAAGACTACATATAACCATTAAAAACACTCTAGAAAATTGTTTAAATTTAGAAAATCATGACAAAAACACACTAATTATATTGATCTACGCGTGTTTTTGTCATGAATTCCTAATTTTATACTACCTCCGTTAATTATTATGTGCAACAAAGGGGTATTATTTGTGAGATATAAAATAAGTCTTTGTTGCACATAATAATTAACGGAGGTAGTACAATTTTTAAAAGTGTTTTTTAGCATTACCCTTAAAAAAAAAAAAAAAAAAAAAAAAAAAAAAACAATAAATTAATTAATTAATTAAATAAAATAAAATAAACCAAGATTTGACAAGTTTCACCGGAGAAGCTTTTTCTATGTTCGCTCATCAATTTCGAGGTACATCTTCTCTCTTTATAATTTCTTGGGTTTTGATTATACTTTAATTAGAAATTACTGATATACTGTTTAATTTACGCCCAATTGCATCACCAATGTCGTTGTAGAACCCTAGTTTATCAATTTTATCGGAAATATTTAGGATGCTTGTTTTTCAATTCAACTTAATCTTTAGGGTTTTTGATCATTAATCAATTAGGGTTTAACTCAATTGTTTGTTTAGAAAGTGATTTTGATTAGAATTTCATAGACGAACTTGCTCTAATTGACATTGTTCCCACTGTTTGAGCAGGATGTATTGTATGAAAGTTGCTGCAGCATTTTATATGTGGAGTTCTGTTATGATATTACTGGGGTTTCTTGCTCAATTTACGTCGTACTCGAAAGATGGGCATACGGTTATTATGTTTGGTTATGCCTTGTTGATGGTGGTGTGTTTATGGTTGCTCAAAATCAATGCCAAGGCTCCATGTTACAAGGAACTTCGCGTTTACGAGTGGGCTGCTTTTGTGTGTGTGGTTTTTGGCTCAATTCCTTCCTGTCTGGGCACAATCAACATCGAGGTATCCAGTAGTAATTTTGTTTTCGGGTTTTCGAATCGTGTCATTCGATTGTTAAGAGTTCGTTTGGTATGGTTGTGCTTTTCTTTTTTGGTTTTTTGTTTTTCAAAATTATACTTCACGTGTTATATGTCATATAATTAGTCACAAATTGGTTAAACTTATTAAAATCACCATAATTTACAAAATTGACAACAGAAAAGTTGAAAAACAGGCCCTTAGTTGCTGGTTTACAATATGTATAAGAAACAAGATAAGGTCTGTTATTAATAAAGTCCGTTATTGATAAGGTTTGTCTATAATCTTTATGCAGGGACCTAATAGATTTGTTTGGGTCGGGGTTGGGGCCGGTGGGAGCCTGGTGATGTTCGTCGGAGGTGCGGTGCTTTTGGCCAAAGAAATCCGGATCGAGCAGCTTGAAGGGAAGATACTCCCGGTGAATGAAGGCGAGCTGTAGTAGTTTTTTAATTGGTTTTCTTATAGAGTTTTAACATTCTGATTGCATTTTTTTCGGGTTATTATAGCGTATAAAGGTACTGTAACTGAATTTTTTTCTATCATGGTTTGTAAATAGGTAATACAGTAGCAAGTTACTCGTAGGTATTACGGCATTTATATGTTGAGGCCGTTGGTGAATTTCTAGTGATATGATAAATTTACTAAAAGACAAGCATTTAAGTGCTAAAATTGCACTTATCACTCACACAATGAAAATTCTCTAATTATTAATGGGGTAATTTTAAGAAAATCATTTTAGTCATACTACGGAGTACTGGCCAGTAAATCAATCTCATGAATGTCATGATAATGGATTTTAAAGTAGATCATGATAATGATTTTTGGTAGTGTATGTTCTAATCAAAATGGAATGCAGCCAATATATTAACAGGCCAAAAATTTGGAGTAAACCAGACATATTTGGACTAATCTAATACGAAGTACTTCGTATATACTTTACTAGGTTCATGCTTCTTTTGTTTAAATTTTAAGGACTTGTTTGGTTGCACAAAGAAAATAAGAGAAGTGAAAAATCATGGGAATTTGAAAATGAAAGAGTTGTTTAGTTGACAATAAAAAGTGTAAATGAGCGAATTGCAAATTTATGAGAATTGTGACTTCCCACATAACATGGGAAGTTAATTACCCAACCCCCCCTTGGTAAGTCAAAATTCTCATGATTTGCATCTTCCTTCATGCAACCCAAACAATTTTATGCATTTCCTAGGAATTTGATGTAGGTATTAAATTTTCATGAAATACAAATTCCTATGGGAAGTAAATTCCCATAACAACCAAACGACACCTAAATTGTTTAAGATCAGTTTAAAGTAAAAGCTTGCACATTTGGATTTAAGCTTAAGCTCGGTCAAGTTGAAGAAATACGAAGTAGCAGAGTTTAGGGGAGATTGAATAGCGTCTAATTTAGTACCCACACACCTTTTGTACAAACCAATCTAAAACCTAGACCAGATCAACTAGTTTGGACAAGGTTTAGATCTTTGTATAATTTTATTCCTAGATGGTGCTATCGTTGGTAGCTTCAATGGAGGAAGCAAATTGGACACCATTATTAACGTTAGCAAACGGAGTTATGATATGACCTATGTTGTTGGTGATTAAGCAGCTGACAAAACACAAGTATGAGTTAGCTGTTATGACTTAGCACTAGATTGACAAAATATGTTGATCATAAAGATCAACTAGGGCGAGCTTTGATTGCCTTAAGTTGAATTTTAAAATTGATTGAAAAAATGAAAAGCTCAAAAAAGAATTTCCATGATATATTAAAAAATAATTCATAACTCAACAAAGTTCCTTGAAAAACAATCCTTATGGCTTATGCATTGTGAAGCAACAAAAGTACGAGGAAAAAACATTTCATTCAAAATAGTTTTTTATTTTTTTATATTTTTTTGAGAAAAAGGAACGAGATAAATCAACTCAGATCAAACCCTGTCGAGGTCCAAGGACTATGAGGAAAAAAGCTCATACACTTGCATTCGGATTTGTTAATAATATCCTATCTTACCACTAATTCTTTTGCCATGCGTTTGAATTAGTTAATACTATAGTATTCTCATCTTACCACTAAATGAGCCATCGTGCTATGTTAACATAATAAATTAAGATAACACATTACCCTTTCAAGAAAATTTAAAATATTCACAGGACACTTTACTTAACACATTATAGAATTGTAATAGATTTTATGCATAGCACATTATACCTTCAACTCTTCAAGTAATGGTGTGGTGCTTTACATAAGATCTAATTACAATAATCTTGGGTTAGTGGTAAGTTGTTAACACACCGTTTATACGAGTATTTTAGGGATTGAAAAAACACATTATTCAATAACCATCCTATTATGAAGTGTGAAGAAATTTTCTTTATCTATTACTGTAAATTATACAACACTAATCTTTTTTTATTTTATTTTTTTATGGAGTAATTTTATTGGAAAAGGTTGGCTTAAAATAAGCCAACCTTTGTCCGGTTAGCTTAAAATAAGTCAACCTTTTAATTAACTCAAAATAAGTCAAGCTTTACTATAAGACTAATTTTATTAAGCCAATTGACTTTGTTACCTACAACAACAAATAAAATGCGGACGTGGATATAACCGTTGTAGGTTTTCTGATTTTTCCTTCTTTTTTTTTAGTATTTATCTCTTTCCCCTTTATATTCCCCCTCCCCTGCTTCTTATTGTTTTGCGATTAATTCCCAAAAAAATCTCCATCCCCTGCTCCTTATTGTTCTTCGATTAATTCTAAAAAATCCCCCAAAATTACAACCCTTCTCTTCTCACATCCTTCTATTGTAATCTAATCTCAATTTTAGGATAATGCGGCAACATTCATCTGGATCAAGTTCATCTTCAAACTCTAGGGGAGTTGCAGACCCTGTAATTAAATGCAATTGTGGGAGGAATGTTGTGCCAAGGACAGTGAAGAAGGGGGTAAATGTGGGAAGGAAGTTTTATGGCTGCCCATTTTGGCTCGTAAGTATTTCAACTTATTTGTTGTGTTCTGTTTAGGGTTAATGTTGGTTGCTTATGAATTTGTTGTTGGTGTTGTAGGATACTCAGTGTGCAATGTTTAGGTGGATCTCAGACATAAACGATGGTGAAGATGTTTAATATCAGATACTCGAGAGAGACACAACCATTGCTGAATTGGAGCATGAAAAAAAAAATGTTGGAAGAGAAGATAAAGAAATTACAAGTGAAAAAGGAAAATTTAGAGGAATATCTGCAAGAATTTAAGACTGAACTTGGCCAAATTAGGATAGAATTATTGAGGTGCTCAAGGAATGAGAAGAACTTTTCAATGGCACTTCTATTTTCTTGAATTTTCTTTGCGTTTCTTCTTTTCTATTTAAAGTAGATAGTAGTATGTCTGTTGTGTAACAAGAATGTGCAAGTGCCATTGACAGTTATGTTATATGCTTTTCTGCCTTATGGTATTAAATAAAGAGTTGGATTTTGTTGAAATATATTATCATATTCTGCAAATTTGTCAATGCTTATTACAATAAGCATGATTGAATACTTTACTTGTTCAAAAGTTTAGCCATAGCAGCAGTACAGGCAACATAACATTGATGTAAATTACAAAAGTTTAGCCATAGCAGCAATACAGACAACATAACATGATAGTCATTCCAAAATGCTAACATAGAGCTTTGTTCATCAAATAAGATGCAAGGTGAAATACATTACAACCAGATTCACTAATTCATAACTTGAGCACTAGATTTTCTTTGCTATTGAGTGGGTTGATGCAAATTCGAAGTTTGACTTGATTGTGTACCATGCATCTGTGGTTCAGTCACCCTTCTTGCCCTCTTGTTACTCTTAGATGGCTGCATAAACAGGAAAAAAAAATATTGCAAAGCAAACTTAAGTCCAAATGAAATTATAGAGTACTCTTAAAAATCTACACTTACATTTGTTACAACACTGCCATCTGTTGCAAAGTATACTCCAACACCTGCAGGCACTTTTTCTTTACTTCTTCCCCCTCCTATAGCACCTCTCCCACCCCTGGTTGAACTCCCTATTCCACCCCTACCACCTCTTGATCCTTCACCTGTTGTAATCTTTCTTCCTCCTCTTCCTAACTGAGTAGGGTTTGCAATAGAAGTGTGGTGCTGATGTGTGGGAGGAGCAACTGATGATGCAGTTTGTGTGGCAGGGGTAGGTGTTATGATAGATGCAGTTCCAACAGAATGTGTTGGTTTGCCCCTGGGCCTTTTAGGCTGTGGTTCCTTAACAACAGGTGAGTCCTTATTTGGGCATCTTCTTTTACTATGGTCTTTCACCATACAAATGGAACAAGTCATTTCCATACCCACCATGCTTGGTGTTCCAGGTTTTTTAGGAAGTTCATATGGGCCCTTAATCCTATTCTTCCTTGGCCTACCTGGCCCTATTTTTATAGGTGGGGGTCCAAGTTGCACAAAACTCTGGCCACTGCCTCTCCTCACAAGGTGTAATAGAGCCTGCATATGCCTTCAAATACACCTCTCTTTTGTAGCAATCACTTACAAATGATTCAGCATCTCTGTTAGAGAAAAAAATGCAAGAAATAGCATGACAACAAGGGATTCCTAACATATCTCACTTTCTACATGTACAACTCCTTGCCTCCAAATTCACAATCAACTAATCGAAGTAGTACTTAACATTAAAAAGATGATCTGAAGAGGGTAAAACTTCACATTATGCTGCCTTAACCTTCTCTTTTTCTAACCTAGCCTAAACTCTAGAACATAGGCTAGAAGTTGAGTTTTCCGTTGCTTGACTTTTTACAACCAATCGCCGCATTAAAGCTACCCTTATATCCTCTAGCATATGTATGAGATGCTTAGTCCTAGCATTAACTATGTAAGGCGTCAAATGTTTCTGCCATGTTGTTGGTAATGGCATTAGTTCTGATTGAACTATCTAGGAAAGCCCTACAAAAAAGGTTAGGATTGTACCCTTTAAATGCAATAGTTGCATCTGCATTAATCTCAGCTAGCTCATCTAATGCTTCATTGTAGTCTGTAAGACTATAAGATTTGGCTATCTTCCAAAAAAGCAGCTTCATCTCATCACCCCTAAAGCTCTTGTGCCAATGAATGAAGGTGCCTAGCACAATGTCGATGTTCTGCTTTTGGTAAAACCTTTGCAACATCAGTTAGAATAGCCTTCACACGGGTTTCAAAACAACACACAATAGCATATCAAAACAACACACAATATAATCAAGTCATGTTAACACTTGTATAAGAAACTTTTAATATAGTTAAGGTTTGAAACAATAATGTAAGGCAACAAAACAATACCTGATGTTCATCACTAATGATGGCAATTCCAGTTCCATCTTCAAGTCCTAAACATTGCTGTAAGTTGGTGAAGAACCATTCCCAGGAAAGAATATTCTCAGCTTTTATAGCAGCCCAAGCTACTAGATACATCTGGTCATTGGCATCTCGACTTACTGCAGATAGAATTTGACCACCAAGAAAGGTTTTGATGAAGCAAGCATCCACAAAAATCACCTTTCTACATCCCTCTTTCCAACCCTATGCCAACCTTTCATAGCAAGTGAACAATCTCTGAAAACAGGAGGATGGTCTGGTTTGTTCACAACAGTCACCAAATCTAACTTAGTCCTAGGACTAGCAGCCTTCAAAGCCTCTAAATACGTTCCTAACTTCTTGTAGTGATCCTTCATTGACCCATGAAGCATTCCGTGGGCATAATATTTCACTTTGTATGCAAATGCTTTTCCCACAACTACCTTGTATGCTCTCCTAACTGTCTCTTGTATTTCTTTGGCTAGCCAGTGAGGCCTTGATTTGAATACCTCTAACAATTGTTTTGCTACCCATGTGGATTTAAGTTGCCTATTTTTCTTCATGTTTCTATGGCAACTGTGTTTCTCATCCACCCTTTTCACTATATATGTTGCTAATCTTGAATGCTAGGCAGAGTACAAATAGAAGGAACACCCCTAAACACACCTTACCTCTAGTTGTTGCCTCCTATTATTGTTACTGATCACAATGCTTACATCTCTACCTTGCATAATAGCATATTTAGCAACAACATCTTTAAAGTCTCCCCTGGTTGCAAATCTTTGCCCAACTCTCCACCTGAAATTACTGAAATCACTATTAGGATTCACAAGAACCCCCCTCCTTTTCCTGCCCTCACCAGCACCATCTTCACCATTGTCAGGTGTGTGAATTTCCTCATCACCACTATCATATTCACTAACATAACCAGATGCACCAGTTACATTCTCAGTAGGCACTTCTTCTGCAGCTTCTTTAACCTCACATGCATATTTGACAGCCTGATTAGCAATCTCCTTTAACATATTATTGTAATTTCTCACTCTTTCCCTAGTTGTCTTATATTCTTCGTCGCTTGTCTCTGATTCAGTAGCTTCACCCTCATCCTCAAATAACTCATCTTGTTCACTATTCAACTCTAGATCTAGCTCCAAATCATCATCAAACTCACCATCAACATTATAGTCTTTTTTCTAATTAATCATCATCATCATATTCTAGTTGGTAAAGACTATCATCGTCATCACTTTCACTGAACCCTACAAGCTGTTGTATTGTCAAAGGACTTTCTGGTCTGCAGTCTTCCCACTCATACTCCTCAAGTGCAGATCTGTTTTGGTTAGAAGTAGGCTGGGAGATGTGTTTAGGGTTTTGTTGTGTTGTGTGTTCTTTTGCATGACTTTACTGGACAGGATGAGTCAAAATAGATGAGGTGGCAACATCTTTATGGGTTTGTGTTGTCACTTTATGTGAGTTGGAGTCAAGAGTGGGCAGTTTTTTTTCTTGGACTAGATCTAGTTAGGACTAATAATAATGGTAAGGTCCTCTTGGGTGTTAATTTTTTAATTGATAAAGGCTGGGAGATTAGGGCATTTAAGGGTGCTAATATTTTAGACTCAAAAGGCTTCTCCATAGGGGCAATTTCAAGTTGTATTTCACAGTGCAAAACATATACATCTTCATCTTCATCCATTCCAAGAACATCTTCATCACTCACAGCCTTCGTTAACCTAGTTGTCAAACTCATCCCATGCACCAAGTAAAAAATCCCACCTATTAATTCATAATCCCCACACTTCTTAGCTAAGTCAATTAAATCAAAATAACAAAGCTCATCTGGATCAATGTCATAAGTCTTTCCCTTCCCTCCCATGTAAACTAATTCCCCATTAATAACATGTTTAAAACTTCCACCATGCCAAAATCGTACAGAGATTATATCAAATACTCCCATCTATCTCCCCTATAATTAACCAAAAAACGCATACAATTATGCCAGTAATGACAACAATCATCACAATATTTCAACCCAATTCAAAACATAATCAAATGCCTAAATCATGTTCGCAATTAAGCCAAATTTCAATTCCAATTTCAAATACATCGTGCTAATATCAATTATAGAAATTCAGAGCAAATAGCAATTTTGAACTACTGGCAATTTCGAAGCAAAGGTTTAATCTTCCCAATTCATCACCATTATCATAATTTCAAAAAAAAAAAGGAATAAGCTAGGGTTTACAATTCATATTTGTAATTGTACAATAACCGTACAATATGGAGATGACCTCTTGCAGTAGTTGCCAATTGGGGAAATGCGATGTCCTCTTCGTCTTCAAAAAGCGGCTTTTTTTCCCTTCTCATACAAGCTTACGTCCTTTGCAGTACTATTATGGTTGAAGCTTAGTAATGGCGGGTGACAGAGTGAAAGGGAGAGGGTAGTTGAGGGTCTCAATTAATGATTTAATGTTTGAGAGGGAAATGGAGTGTCTTTCGAAACTAATTACCTCCTTTCTTTTCTTTTAATCGGTTACCAGTCAACTGGCTTAATAAAATTAGTGTTATAGTAAAGTTTGACTTATTTTGAATTAATTAAAAGATTGACTTATTTTAAGCTAATCGGGCAATGATTGGCTTATTTTTTGACAAAGTTTCCGATTTTATTTAGAATGTGTTTTTACACTTTACGAGGATTTATCCTCAAAATACAATGATAACCGTTGATCTAATTAGATCTAACGGTTGACATTATATGATGCGTTTCATTAATCTTCATCCTCCCATGTTTTCATTTTTATTTTATTTCTATTTGGAGGTTCTCACTTTTACGCTGCGTCTCTTTATCTCTCTCTCCTCCATTGAACCGCACTCTGAATTCTCCATTGAAGCAGCTGCTGAGCTTATTCTCCTCCATTGAAGCAACTTCTGAGGTATGATGTTTTGTTCCAATTTCTTTAATAATCGAATTCCAAATTCACAATCTAGGGTTTAATTTCTTACTGTCGTAAATTAATTGTCAGTATTGTCAATTTAGGGTTCTTCAAAGGCAATTAAATTATTGTTTATAATTTCTGAAGTTATGAAAGATTATAACGAGTGAATTTGGTGCTAGAATTTTGCTATGTGCAATTAAGTTAGATTGCGAGAAGAATTTTATTTGATCTTCTGATCCTAATCTGATTCGGTTGCTAACGTGTTGCACTTTTTGACCCTAATCTAGCCCACGAGCTGAGCCAAAAATATTTGAGGCAATTCGAGCTTCGAGCCGAGCCTGTCTATTACGAGTATATTGTAGCTCGATCCTATGATTATTCGGGCTTGGCTTGAAGGTTTAGCTCGCCTAATATTTGATTATACACTCCACATGATTGCATGAGAAAATGGATTGTTGAATTATATTCTTCATTGATAGGATATGCAATACTATGGTTTTATTCTATATTATGATAGGATATTTGTATGGGTTTGAATATATCACTACACAGTGAAAATTATGACGGAAATTAAGGAAAAATTTTCACTTGGAGGTTTTAATATAAGTCACTTTGAATTATATTGTTTTCAAAATAAATTAAGTTATTGCAATATACATCCTTATAATAACTTTTAAATCTAATATTGAGACCTCTTTCAAGTTTTATGAATCGAGCTTGAGAATAATGTCATAAAATCTCAAATTTACCATCTGTCTTTTATCCATTAAAAAAAAAAAAAAACAAACCATATCGTCCCCATGCTCAGTAAATAACCAGAATCCTCCTTTTTTTTCCTTCTTTTTTTCTTCTAGTAGAGCAGGGCCCATGTTACTTAGATAGTTAGACTCGGCTATAACTCCTATAAGTGTAATACACCGGTATGTGTCCAAGTGATAGGCTCGGACAATTTATGAAAATTTTGCCTAAATTTCGCGAGAAATGAGGTGTCCAAATGTCAAACAAATAACCAGAATCGTCCTCTCGTTCTAGTAGAGCAGGCCTGTTACTTAGACTCGGCTAGAAGTGGAATTCTCCGGTATGTGTCCAAGTGACAGGCATGGACAATTTATGAAAATTTTGCCTAACTCTGGCGAAAAATTTAGTGTCCACGTGTCAAATCAAAGTCCGAATGTTGAGTATCCGCCATGAGGATCATGAGTATTTGAGGTGAAATGAAGAGTTTGAAAAATCATAAATTGGGTATCATAAAAGATTTTTTTTTGCCTAATTTATTTATTATGTTGAATAACACTATCCTTAAGCTGTATAATGGACCTAGTTTGCCTTTCAATATATCATCATTTTGTCAATCAGGACGAAATAATAAATAGTTGATAACTATTCTTCCTCAATTTAGAGTTGTGCGATGTCCAATCGAAGGTCAATTTTTTAGCTTAAAGACTGTTTAATTAAAATATCAAAAATGTGTGGTTTGGAAATTTTGGTAATGAATTTCTTAAAGAAAATGCTGGATATAATGATATTTTGTGAATGCTGCAACCCCCCTACTCCCAAATAAAATGGTAGTAAATGTTTGTCAAACCGGAAATGCTACACATAGCTAATCTGAGTTGGTGATTGATTTAATTTGGAAATTTTCAGCTGTTGTTGACCTTGTGCTGCAGGAGTTTATTGCTGCATCTGTGTGGGGCTACTTGTGTAATGGCATCTGTGTCGAGTCAGCCACAGTTCCGTTACACCCAACCACCATCAAAGGTGCTTCATTTGAGAAACTTGCCTTGGGAATGCACTGAAGAGGAGCTGATTGAATTGGGAAAGCCTTTTGGTAAAGTTGTCAACACAAAGTGCAATGTTGGGGCCAACAAAAATCAAGCGTTCATCGAATTTGTAAGTGCCAATAATATTGCTGTCTTACTATCAACACCAACCTCTCCTGACCATCACCCCCCCCCCCCAACCCCCCACCCACCCACCCACCCACCCAAAACTAAAAGAAGGAAAATGGCATTGTAAAGGAATTTACTTGGTAATAAATAATTAAATATTACTGATAACAAATTGTTTGGACAAGGGCTGATTAGCATTGAAACTTCGTTACTGAGGTGAGATTTAGTAAGTAGCTGATGCTTACCTTCTGTGTGTAATTTTTTTTTATTTTTGTTTTAATTTTATAAGTAAAGCTATCTTGGGGTTTTCAAGGATTACTCGATTAAGGATACGTTCATAGGAACCGGGTTAATCTGTAATTTATTCTTTTGGTTTTAAATGACTGTTTGTCCTCTTTTGCTTGTACTCCTTTATCTGATTATCTGAGCTGTTATCATAATTGAATTTCCCAATAAAGAAAATCTATCTTTTTTAATTGCATTATTGCGATATAGTGTTTATGTGGTCAGAGTATGGTAGATTGATTGGAGTGAAGGATAATGTGGAAATGGAAGCCTGATATCATATTCTAGGTGAACAAAAGATTTTAGTATGATTATATATTGTGCAGACATGACAAATCCTGTGCTTAGTCTTCTGTATTTGTTGTTGAATCTTATGATCAAGTCTCATGAGGTCTTGCTTGAGGAAGCTGGAAAGAAGTTATCATATCCACTTTCTGTCGTGTCAGATTAAGTGGAACATAGACTGGAATTGATGGAGTTTGGTGTGCCCCTATTTGACTGTTAAGTTTGGAGTCTGGATGTCATGATTGATATACATGTTTATTTCTTTTCCAGGCGGACCTTAATCAGGCCATTGCCATGATATCCTACTATGCTTCATCATCAGAACCTGCTCAAATACGGGGAAAAACTGTGTACTTACAGTATTCCAATAGACAAGAAATTGTGAACAATAAGACCACTGCTGACACTGCAGGAAATGTGTTATTGGTTACCATTGAGGGAAATGAAGCTCGGCAAGTCAGTATTGAAGTATTACACTTGGTAAGTCCCACATATGCTCCTCCATGTTATGATATGAGATACAGCTGACTGCAGAGATCCTTGGGGTTAGTTTTTCGGACTAGGCTATAGTTGGTCATACTTAATAAGCCATTTATTTGACATGAGTGTAAATGGATCAGCAGGCCCTTGTCAAGGATATATCTTCGATGGCAGCTTAATGCGTCGGGAGAAAGAGCGCATGTGTGTTTGTCTCCTTTCTCCTTTTCCTAACACTGCCTCTTTCTTCCCTACTTTTCTCCTTCTTTCATCTACCTCTACAGTTCATAAGAGTTATGAGTGCTCATTATGCTGTACTGTTGTGCATCCTCTCTCCTTGTGTGAATGTCCTGTTATATATTTTTTTTAAATTACAGTAATATCCTGATTGATGATAGTAAATCTTGTTAAATTCTTGTACATAGAATATAATTTTAAACGTTCAGTATCATTCTGTTTTGTATACAACCTGGCAACCTGCTACATGTTGTGTTTCTTTAGTTTCTTCGTGCAATATCTTTTTTGCTCTCTATCTTCCTGAAGATTTTGATGTTAAGGCATTGTTTGAAGGATGCCTATGTAGCCCGGTGCCTACTATGTAGACATTTTGATTGGCATATTCTGACTCGATAGTCTGATCTAATATTCTGGAACCTGGTATGGGAACTCAACCTCTGTCATGACTTGGTAATGTTTGGCTGTTACTTGCTGTAGTAATACTTACATTTGCTTAAGATGATTTATTCAGTTGCACTTCATAATGTTCTTAAGCCCTTAAGCATAGGGTTGTATATGTAATGACCTCGAGCTAACTTTTCACCCCAATTTCAAGATTGGTGAGTTTATTTTTAATCCAATAGTGTGCTGATGTGAGCTGAATTTTCTCCTTGATTGCCATTGTTATGGATTTAACAACACCTAGAAGAATTCTTCTAAAGAGGCTTCCTCCTTGGTTGGATCTTGATTCTATGTACATACTATTTGAAGTGCGGACAATTTAGTCTATTATGAGCCAAATGCTAAAGAACAGTGAAAATTTTACTTTCATTGACATCAAATTAGATGCAAGTCTATTTATATTTGTACATCATTAAGCTTTGTAGATTTACTGATGATGAAACCTTTTGTATTGCATTTAAGTATTTTTTGTTCCGGGATTGAGTATATTTGTTCCTTTTCAATACACAAAGAATAGGCTGACGTTATAATTATCTTGATGCTGTTTTCAATCCTATTCTCTAGACATGTTTGTTTCTGAATGAGATATTGCTGATGCAGGTAGTTTCAGCATTTGGATTTGTGCACAAGATTACAACTTTTGAAAAGACAGCTGGATTTCAGGCAAATCTTCTATTTTTTGTTCTTTTTTTATTTCTTCCTCTCTATGCTCCTTTCCTGTAGTTTATCATCCTTTTTCACTGCTGCTGCTGATAGTGGTTATTTAAGAAATCATTGTGCTATTCTGCATGTCTTGCTGAAAATGAAGCCTCACTCTGTTCTCTCTTTCTCCTTGCAGGCGTTGATTCAGTTTTCTGACACAGAAACTGCGTCTTCTGCAAAGAATGCTCTTGATTCAAGAAGCATCCCAAGGTGATTTTGGATTTATTGTGTGGCTTCAGGCGTTGTCCACATTTAGTGGATCTTACACTATGCATGTCAATCCTGTATGCGCTGGAATCAGTTGAAGTTGTGAGAATCCTTCTCGCATCATTTTTCATTGATAGTCTTAGATTCCTGTGTGTGAATATTATGGTAAACCTCCCCCCCCCCCCCCCAATCCCCCACTCACAAAAAAAAAAAAAAAAAGAAAGTAAAAATCTTATCAATTACACTCTAAATTCTTATCTTAATAACTGTGTTGAGATGTGAGGTGTCCACACTTAGGGTCATCCCAAAGGTATATAGCATCTCATGATAGCATATTAGCTGATGGGTGTATGGTGTCCCATACATGCAGTGTTAGTATTTTACGGTCTAGGGTTTCCTTCTCCGTGCTTATGCTTGTCAAGTTGTCAGATTACCTGGCTATATGGTTTACAAAGTTATGAATGAATTTGTCATGTGAAAGTGTATGTTTTTAGTATTGTGGCTGATTTTTTTGCTGTTGACTTAGGTACCTACTTCCAGAGCATGTTGGGCCCTGCACTCTCAGGATAACTTATTCTGCACATACTGATTTGAGCGTCAAATTCCAGAGTCACCGCAGCAGGTAAATTTCTCCTTGCTGTTATTGTTTTATAAAGTGCTGACAGATATTTGACTTTATTACTTTTACTGTCTCAATTATAGTATCTCTTTTGTGAACAATAATTTATTATCGATCTGTGTTTTTTTAGGGATTACACTAATCCATACCTTCCGGTTGCCCCATCTGCTATAGATGCAGCTGGTCAGGTAAGGCATACAATCTTGAACTTTTACCCCCTCTCCCCTCTTTTCCTGGTGATAGGTTTTTTGTTTTTCCTTTCATGGACATTTTACGTTCGTCTAAAAGTGTCCTGGTTCAGAGAACTATTGCTTCTGTCCCGAAATAAACTTCCACGTTGCTAGTTAAGTTGTCTTGAAAATAATTCGCTCTCTTTCAGTTTGGTAAAGTTCACTATAATTGTGATTTACCATAGTTGCCCTAAAACAGCTGTAGGGGCGTTTGGCTCACAAGTTAGTATGGGTTTGAAATTTAGAATGAAATCATAGTGGTATCGATTTGGATCTTGATATTAAATACCACGTGTTTGGTAAATATTCTGGAATGATTTTTTTTACTTTTAAAACTCCATACCCTTGGGGGGGTTTGAGGTATGAGTTTTAAATGTAAACACATGGTATGGGTTTTAGTCATTCTAAACCCATACCCTATACCAAAATATTGTGAACCAAACACCTCCTGTGTAGTATGCTTACAGATGTGGAATGAATTGAATAGTTATATTAATCACATAAGCATTCTTAATTGCATGTTTAACACCTTTAAATTGAAAGATATTGATTAATGTTCAAAGTAATTATCATTTGATTTACATGCTGACAATTAGAGCAAGAATTTCTTTAATAACCATTTTTGTGCTTGTGTAGATACTGTTTTCATATGTTTATGTGTACACACACAGAACACTCATACATGTGCTTGTGCTTACACATGCTACTACAACCAGATGTTTCTAGAATCTAGCTAGTTTCATGCATTACAAGGTTGTTGGCTGGAAATCTGTACTTCATGCGGGTGGCAAATTTTTTACTGTTGTATTTATATTTTCTTCCTTCTCTACTCTTATGTTTTGATTGCCAACATTATTCATCTTTGCAGCTTAGTGTGGGTGTGGATGGGAAAAAGCTGGAACCTGAGAGTAATGTACTATTGGCATCCATTGAGAACATGCAGTATGCTGTCACGTTAGATGTCCTACACACGGTATTGTCATTAAATATGGTTATTTACCTTTACAGCCCCTTTGGTAGTCGATAATAAATGGTGGTAATGGGAATGAAGTGTAAGTGTAAATTAGGAAGGAAATTAACCTTGTAATCTCCATGGTACTGCAATTTTATCCTCAAGTATGTGTTTTCTTCATGTTTTTTCATTACCATCCTTTACCACTTGGGAGGAGGTATTAGGTGGGAATGAAAATTTGTAAAGAAAAAATGGTCAATTTGGGGTGAGCTAGCGTTACCATGGGAATGGACTTAGATTTTCCTTACAAATTCATTCACCCATTACCATCATTTATGGCCATCTACCAAACAGACCGTTAGGGTATTGCAGATAGTGTCATTTACTGATTTCGTTCCTTGTTCTAGGTCTTTTCTGCCTTTGGACTTGTGCAAAAGATTGCTATGTTTGAAAAAAATGGAGGGCTGCAAGCTTTGATTCAATACCCTGGTGAGTGCCAAACTTATGGGCTGTATTTCTGTCTATTATGGTTTTCAAGATTTCAACTATGAAAAAAATGTTCAAAAATAGATCTCTAGCTTTTAAGAAGGTTATGATCTTGCTGATGCCTATGTCCATAGCAATGTAAAAGGGCATGCCTTTATGGTTGATAAATTTTCTGGAAATATTCCTTGATAAATTAAATTATGCTGGGCACAGGAAACATCATGGATTTTTATATCATCCATATAACTTGCATGTGGTAAGGAGTTGGAACTTCCTTCTCGTCTCTCCTTCAGCTCTCTTTCTCCTCTTTAGCTTTTCAACTTCTCAATCTCTAACATGAGCCATATAATTTGTTTATCATCTCTGGGGTTCTTGGTGTCATCTCTTTGCCTGAGGCTTCCCTATGCTGCAGCAGTGTGCATTTTCTCAAAAGTAGCTGCTAGTTGCGCTGAGTGGCAGGGGCCAGGGAGTACTCTCTCTCTCTTCTATGGCTCCTTTTCTCTTCTCTGAAAGGATTTCGCTGCTTTTTCTCTCTTCGAAATTCCTGTATGAATCAAGGAACATGCTTTTGTGGTTTCATTATCTAAAGAAGGTTCTATTGAGACTAGCTAGATGAAATTTATACTTATAAATGAGATATCTTGGCAATTTATGGTATAATATTGGAGATACCTATTTTCCTGCTATGGGTTAACATTTTAGAATTTTTGGTCTCCTAGATAGTACACCTAAAAGTGTGTTAGCTATCATTCGTCACTCATTATGTAGCTGTTAAAAATGAAGCTGGAATATAGCATGCATGAAGCTTGCTATCTGGGGAGGAGTGTTTATGTGCTCGGAATCTCTGATGTAAAATAGACCACTAGTTTTGTTGTCTGCTTCTCTCTCTCGCTTGTGTGTGTGTGTGTGTGTGTGTTTTTTTTTTTTTTTTTTTTTTTTTTTGGGGGGGGGGGGGAGGTAGGGGGGTGAAGGCATATTGGCAAAACCAGACAACTTGTCTTTTAACTGCTGCTGATAATATAGTCCTTGTGAATCTTGGGCTACTTAGAAGGATCTGTGCTATGAAAGACTAAACTTTGTGATTTCCACAGATGTTCAGACAGCTGTTGTTGCAAAAGAAGCACTTGAGGGACATTGCATATATGATGGAGGGTTTTGTAAACTCCACCTATCGTATTCACGGCACACTGATTTAAGTATCAAGGTACTGAGTACTACTTTCTCTTTTGAATTGTGTATTAGCAATATTTTCTTTGATAAATTGATACAGCCAACACCGATTACCTCTTTGATTCCATTGTTGGATGTAATTTGGTTATAGGACTTTTTTTAATCATGGGTGTTTTTTTTATTTTATTTTTTTATTTTTATTTTTTTTAAACGTGTTAAAGGATCCTAGTCATCCTACCTATGAAGTTCATATAAAAGAAAAATTATGATGTGCTTATATATTAATAAGTGAGTTCAAAAATCATTTAGGCTACATACTATGCATCTACTTCTAATTCATTCAGGCTACAAACTATGCATCTACTTCTAATTCATTCAGGCTACAAACTATGCATCTAATTCTAATTCCTGCTTGTTCTTTGCTTCTTATATCTCAACATTACTTTAAACCTTTGCTCAATAAACACCCTAGGAAACTGTAGAGTGAAGAGAAATGAGTGAACCTATTGCAGATCCATATATGTTTTATGATGTACTTAAAAGTTCTAATGTTTTTTCCTTGTCAAGAAGGTTTCATTGGATTTGCTTGGCTTGCCATGTGTCATTCGTATATTTTTTTGGAATTGCTTTACTCAAAAGTCACAGTTAGTTTTTGATGTAATTTTAACTTCTGTTACAGTGATGTCCATTTTTAATTTTGCAAGAACTTTTCTTCTTTGATGTGTAAACATTGTTGATTGTGTATGTCTGAAACTCCAGGTAAACAATGACAGAAGCCGAGACTATACAATTCCTATACATGGGGCCATGATTCAACCCTCAATTCTCGGACAACAGCCAACAGGAGGGCCAATGTCGGGAGCTACTGCTGCTCCTTATAATGGTGGGCAATATCCAGGACCACCTCCTTCATCAGGAGGCTGGGCACCACCTCAACATATGCACATGCAGATGCCAATGCAAAATTACCCATACAACATGCCATCTGGACCTGGTGCTGCACCTCCTGGTCCTCCTGGCACCATGCCGCCAGGATCCTTGCCACCAGGGTCAATGCCACTCGAAATGGGACCTGGAACAATGCATATGCAGAACCCAAATGGCTTGCCGCAGCCACCTGCTATGCCTCCATACAGTCAATGACATGATGTGGCTCGAAGACTGACTGGGTTCTACTGAGGTTTTTGGGTTTGGGGAATGTGAGCAAAAAAATCCAGCCTGCCAAATCTCAATTCTTGATTTGTTGAGGGCTTGCTATAATTTCGTTTAGAGTACAAATAACTTTTTATTGTTTGAACTATTTCCTAAATACTTAAAGGTTGAGCTTCTTTGGAACTCTTACTCTATTCTGGTATAAAAAATTCTTTATGCTGCCATGGAAAAAGCTCTGTTTTACTTCATATGCCTTTCGCGATCTTTTTATCTTGGTAAATACTCGTATTTGTTTTAGGTTTGGCATACGAGTAGTACCACATTGGTGCATTGAGGTTTCAATAATTCCACTTTGGTGACCTGTGTATCAAATTTTGTTTTATTTTGATATCCAATGGTTTGGTAATCTCACTTTGGTGCTCGAGATTTTAACTTTTTTCCACTTTCATGCTATAAATACTTGCTCACTTTTGTAACAAAGATCTTTATTTTATCTCACACAAAGGAGTGTACAAATTCTATCCATTGAGAAAATTAGATCTTCAATGTTATACTATTATTATATACGAAGTATATTGTTATTTGTCAGGGATAAGTCGATTTTAATAATTTTTACAAATGTAATTTTCTCCCTGATGATTACATATGTAATTTTCTCCCTAATCATTACATTAATATACATAGTAAAAGTTAACTATTCTTTTTATTGATGAAATTGCTCTATTTATAATATTTTACCACGTAAAAATTACTCCTAATAAAAATCCGTTAACCCTAAAATTGGGCGTGGCCGAAAGAAAATAAATGCTAGAGGGTTGATCAAGGACCCATCTCTTTACCTTTAGAATTTGTTATATACATCTGGGTGTACCGTACACCCAAATAACCCAAGGTTAGTGTTTGCTTTTCATTTGATGATTAAATAAAAAACAATCATCAAAATGAGAACAAAATACTCATGGGTATACGGTACACCCGGATGTATATAACAAGCTCTCCTTTACCTTGGCTAAAAAGAAATTTCAATCTAATCTTAATTACGAGTATCTTATTTAATTGACCACATTTGATACAAACCATCAAGCAAAATTGTGATATTTTTCTGGTAGATACCAAAATTTTGTTAATTTTTGGGTGTCAAATATATGTAAATAAGGAGATAATATAAAAAATACCCCATAAAATATCATCTTCAGAATCTCGTTGATTTATTTGATAATTATCTTATTTTCTATAATACGACTCTCTATTGAAAATAATATAAAAAAATATATATAAGATTATCTTCATAATCTCGTAAATTATTTGATAGTTATCTTGTTCTCTACTCTACGATTCTATATAAAGAGGCTTGTTTTCAGTGTTCATTAGGCTCGGATGGAAAAAGTCATGAATACCTATCTCCTATCCACGACTGTAAATACATAGTAGGTTCATTTGTAAACATTGTAAATAGGATCATTTCATTGTAAATACATAGTAGGTTTATTTATATTATAGGTTTATTTCCTACTAAATACATAGTAGGTTCATTTGTATATTATAAGTTCATTTATATATTGTAGGTTTGAATTTTAACGATTTACATTTCCTATTGTGATATTTTACAACTGTTAATAGTCCAAACCAAAACCTCAATTTAATAGTCCCATAGTCCATAGATCACAACAAGAATTAACGTGTGAAGAAGAAGAGGATACAAAATTTCCACAACAAGAAACCAAACGATTCTTTGTCCCTTTGTCCCTACTTCCCTAATCTTTCCTTGAACTAACACTGTCTACAACAGTTGACTGGACCGAGTTGCACACTTCCACCACTCGCTCGACTCACCAGGCGCCAATTTCAATCAATCCAATCCAATCCCTCCAAAGATAAGGTTTTTACTCTCTACCCTTCTTCTTCTTCTTCTTCTTCTTCTTCTTCCCTTCTTTTGCCTCTTTCTCTCTCCTCCATTGTTACACCTCCTTGAAGGAGAGAGAAGGAGATAGCTTTCAATTTGAAAAACCAATAAACACAGTAAAACCCAGAAGCAGAAGAACAAATATGACGACATTACAAGCTTCTCTTTTGTTGAAACCCCCAAATTCTGTCCCTTTAATACGTTTATCCCCAATTCTTCGTTTTAGCCCTCAATTTTCTCAATCTTTTGCCCTAAATTATTGTATTTCTCGTTCCCGTAAATTTTCCATTAGTTGTTGCACATTACACCCTCAAAACCCCCACATTAGCTCAAATTCTGACCCAATTGAAAAACCCAGTTCCTCGAATTCTGATTCTTTCCTTGAATTTGATGGTAAAAATGGGGATAATTCTGCCCAGGAGCTTGAAAACCCTAGTATTAGCAGTATTAGTGATAGTGGTAATGAGGAGAGTGTCTTGAGAATTGGGGAGAGAGAAAGTGATGAGGAGAATGAGGGTTTTGAAGGGGAGAAGAAGGGGGAAGAGGGTAAATTGGCAATAGTAGTGTTTTTGGTGGGAGTTTGGGTTAATTTTAAAAAAAAGTTGGAGAATATTTGGTTATCTGGGTGGTTGAGATGGTGGCCGTGGCAGCAGGAGAAACGGCTGCAGCGTTTGATCGCCGAGGCCGACGCCAATCCGAATGATGCCACCATGCAGAGTTCTTTGCTCGCTGAGCTCAACAAGCATAGGTTGGAATTTGTCACGGGAATAGTAATTATCTGAATACTTTGATTTTTAATGTTGCCTTTTTGTTCTTGCTTGAAAATTTGAGGCAATGTGGGTGAATGTGATGATTGTGTATAATTATTTGGAATTTGTTCAATATTTGCAGGTGAATTGATATCTTGTTTTTTGTTTTTGGGTATGTGACTAGGTCCTGGCGATTAATTTGGTTTGCATTTGCTTTGAATTGTGACTAGTAGCCAATTGAACAGTTTTTTACTTGCTACTTAGCTAATTTGTTGACAATGCTTAAGGGTTTAGACTTTTATATCTTGAATGAGCAGAAGCTGTAAAGTATCAAAGGTTGGACCTTTTTAGTGGCAAAGGTTTAAAGATTATATAGAGTTCTTGAAAGTTACCGTTGCTTCTTCATGTTTGTAATGTGTCCGAAAATACTCACATTTGGGATCATTAGAGCTGCTTATTCCGAAGTGCCTGAAAATGATAGCTCTACTTGCTACTAATGGGCTTAAAGGTTTTAGGAGTTAATACAGCATTTAGGATTTCATCTTTTCCCCACCTATGGGATTTAGGAAAATTATAATGAACGGTGAAAAGCAAAATAAACTGTTTACAAAGGAGCTCTGCAGCATTGTACCGATTTTGTCTTGCATCTTCATCCCATTTTGTAATTTGTTTTTATTTTTAGCTGCTAGGTTATCCTATCTCCTATTCTAAAGTAAGAAAAGGAAAAATAAAATAAAATAGTGATGTATTTTTTGAATTGTCTTTTCAGCCCTGAATCTGTCATCAAGCGATTTGAACAAAGAGATCTTGCAGTGGATAGTCGAGGTGTCATAGAATATCTTCGAGCTTTGGTATCTACGAATGCCATTGCTGAGTACCTTCCTGATGAGCAATCTGGGAAGCCATCCAGTCTCCCTACATTGGTAACTTCCTATTCTTTTAAATAATTATTATATGCTGTTGTTACATTTCTGATTGTAAAATGCAAATCTTAAGCTACCGCTCTTCTCTCTGTCTATGTGCCACTTCTGAGTTTCTTCCATTTGGCTTTGTCCAGTTAATATATGGATCTTGTAGAACTTAATATGCTGTACAAAGTACCTCCTCTTCATATTTTGACAACAAATCATTAGTAAACTAGTATAAACTTGATGCCAATTAGTGTTTTATCCTCACATCAATTTACCTGAAAGACAGGTTAACCTTGTCAAGCCCTAAATGCAACAGATCTTCTCTTTTAATTGTGCTAATCTTACTCCAACTTTCCCGTTTTTTTTTTTAAAAAAAGTTTTGACCAGGAGCTCTGCTCTATGGACTTTGTCGAAGTGTGATTCATTATGCCTTTTTATATTTTCCTTACATCAAAATATGTTGTTAACAGATGCATTAGTTGGACTTTACGAAAAATGTGACATTAAGCGTTTAATCCTAAATCCTCACATATACTTACCTTAAGTCAGTACAATTACAATATTTATACTGACCGAACTGTAACATGGTGGACCTCCTCTTCTACCGTTGTCTTCATATCACTTGAGGTTTCTTATCTTTTGTTTTAACCAGCTTCTCTTTTGACATTGACACCTTGTTGAAACTTGTTAAGTACGCCATGTTTTTCTCATACATTAAAGTTGTAACTTTTGGAAGTACTAAAGATAACAAATCCGTTTGTAGGTCTTAAATGAAAAAGGTGCAAATAATTGCATTGCTCTTACATCAATTAGCCCAAAATAAGTTTAATCTTGTGATGCTGAAAGGCCTGGAACTACCAAAATCCAAGCAGCTGCAAGAAACTGGAATTAGTAGGCTCATTATCTAGCTTACTGCTGATTATTAAGCATTTTTTGGTTTCTTCTCTTATGCCCTCTTTCGGCTCTTTGGTTGGAAGTGACACAATGTGAAACTTATTATGTTATGTAGCATCCCCGTCTGAAAAAAAAATATATATATGTAGTATCAAATGCATTGCTACAATGAGTATGCCTAAAAATCTACTTGCCTATGCATTGTGTACTTCCTTTTTTTTAATTTTTTTTGTTTTAACTGTATTCCTTAATGAAATTCCATTGTAGCTGGTCATTGACTTTATGATTCATGTCACTTAAATATACATTCTAGCTTACTTCCGTAATTACTTTTGATTATACACTCAATTGTATCCAGTTTAGTGTTAATTTGTTATCACCAGTACCCGTTTCTCATCAATTATGATCCTTCTTGTAGCTACAAGAGTTGAAACAACGTGCTTCAGGAAATACAGAGGAGCTTTCCTTTAACCCTGGAATATCTGAGAAGCAGCCATTACATGTGTTGATGGTAAGGTGGCCTGTTAGATAAATAGTCCTCTTTATGTATGAATTTGTGTTGTTTGAGGGCACTCAGCTATGGAATTTGGTGAAACTGTACTGAAAGTTGGAAGTTATTGTCGCACATTGATTACTATTAAATATTTCAATTGTTATATATATATATATATCACGGACTTGAGACCATGATGCGTATCCTGGTCTTGGATGAACATATAGTTAAAAAATAATGAACAAAGATTCCAACGATTACAAGAATTTTTAACATGTTCAAGTATTTTAATTATATGCTCATTTTCACTCCTGAAGCAAAAAATAAAAAAGAAGACGAAAAAGATAGTGTTTTTTTTAATTTATTTTTACTACAAACTATATAATTTTTTTAACTATATATTCATCCTGGACCAGGATGCACATCCTGTTCCAGGACCATGATATACTTTAGTTAATATACTCTATACAATGTTTCTGTTACTAGTCATAACTCTCTGTGGATTGTGTTTGTTCAGGTTGATCCTAAGGTGTCCAACAAATCGTCTCGTCTTGCACAAGAGCTCTTCTCAACTATCCTCTTCACTATCGCTGTTGGTTTAGTTTGGTACAAGTTCTTTCGTGAGTCTGTTATATGTATTTATGGTCGCTATTTATTGTGTAAAATTCTGCCTTGGGTGCTATCAAATTGATCTGTCCATCTTATGTCAGCTCCTCTTCAGCTTTGACACTGGGTGTTGATGCAATAAATTCCTGTCTTGAATTATTTCCGTATTGGTTCAGGATAATGGGAGCTACTGCACTTCAGAAGTACATAACTAGCTTAGGTGGTATAGGAACCTCTGGTGTTGGATCAAATTCTTCGTACTCTACCAAGGAATTGAGTAAAGAAGTTGTTCCAGAAAAGGTATTATCCTTTCCATAACATTTCATCCTACTGTTTGGCTCATTAACACAGTAATATGATCAGTCTTCACTTTAGGTTAAAAGAGATCTAATCCAGCTGTATAAGAGTGATTTTGGGTGTTTGATTAATTGTATATTATGGTTACTTGATGCAAGCTCTTCAAGAATGTGATGCAGAAGTATTGTTCTGTTTGGCATATATTACCCTTGTTTTAAAATTTCTCATGCAGATTTATAGGAATTAAAATGGATATTTACAAATTAAAACTTGTCATTTTTGGGTGCTGATTAGCTGGTTTTTGTTCAGAATGTCAAAACTTTTAAGGACGTTAAGGGCTGTGATGATGCAAAACAAGAGCTCGAGGAGGTGGTGGAATACCTCAAAAATCCTGCTAAATTTACTCGCCTTGGAGGGAAGTTGCCAAAGGTCTGTTAGATCTCCAGTTTTGTGTGTATTGAATATGTTGCTTCTCCACTTAATGCCATCAAAATGTTTACTATTTACTTGGAGAATCCCTTTTAAAATCTTGGTTATATGTGATGAATTAGAGAATTTTGCAGCTTATGATTTTTCAGTAGCTGATGTGAGTATACACTTAAACGTTGGGTACTATTCTTAGTTTCTTACCTCCTCTTGCTCTTGCTCTCTGTTACTTTTTTTTTGGTTTTTTCCTTTATATGATGCCCACCTTTGCTTACTGCTACTGGTTCTAAACTTCCTTTCAAACTCTTCTCTTTCTCCTGTTTTCACTGCCTTTTTGTTCCACTATTTTTTTCTAAGGAAATGGTACTTATTGCTATCCCTGTAGTAGTTGGTGGTAATAATGCATGTCTATAAATTAATTAAATTTCTAGGTCCAACTTTCTATTGTTATTGCTGTTCTCTGTAGCAACTTTCCTCTGAGCTACAACTACTCCTCTGTTGCCTGTCCATTGCGCCTTGCTGATGTGTACATGCTCCATCTTTGATTCCTCCAGCACTCTTTCCAGCCACCTATTGTGCATTCGACTTCCATTCAGAGAGCCTACCCTCGACATTATAATGTCTGTGACGTTAACTGTCTTCTAGATCATGCTGTCCTTTGATAGTATGTCTGTGTCTAAGTTGTCCCTTTGTCAAAATTTTCCTTGGTCCTCCTCCCCTCCCTGATATATATTTTTGTAAAAAAAAAAATTCTTTTGATCATGATCATTTGTACTCTAGTCAACTTTAAGTGTCAAACTACATCAATGATTATTCATTGCTAAACATGCCTCTGTTTTGTTTTGGGCAAAATGTGGCAACATTGAACAAGAAATTTGAGCAGTATCTTGGCATAGAAAAAGGTATTGGTTGCTTAGCTAGGGAAGGTCTTAATGATAAGATTATGTACTTTTTTATTAAATGCAAGGGAAAGATAATTCTTATAGACATCAAACATTGATTGATCTTCTGTGTTTTTACTTTTATTAGGTTGAAAAGAAAATACACTGTAGATCTTTCACTAATAACAACTCTCTGATAGTTTTTGATTGGTCAAATATATGATCTTGTATATTCTTGTTGTTAAAATTGTTGTTACTACTGCTGGTGTTTTACGCATTAGTTGTAACCTGTACATAAACGTCTATTTATAATGGGTTAAAACTTAAAATACTAGAAATTTCTATTTGCCGTCTTTTTTCACTTTAACAACAATTTGTATCTCTGATGGCAGGGAATTCTTTTGACTGGAGCTCCTGGTACCGGGAAAACACTGCTTGCCAAGGTACTCCTTTCTCAAACCTTTTGGAGCTTCTTGAAAAGGAAATCACATGATCTTAGAATGTTATGTGTTGCCTGCGTAATTTGGTTGTGGTGCTTTGGATGGGTGCTTTTGTGGGTAGTTCAAATTGATGAACCGTATAACCAGCTGAAGCTTTATGCTCATATGGGCATGTACTTAGCAGTTGAGGTGAACTGTTACTGAATATGATATCTTGAATAGACTGAATTTTAAATTAATAGCTACAGATCTTTCATGCTCATGAGGATGCTTACGAAATCAGATTAGTGATGCATATTAGATTTTTTCTTAATAAATAACACATAGGGGCTCCCAAATTTATTCCGTAAGTTCTATGTTGTTTGTTCAGTGTCAGTATATGAAGCTAGTCTTAGATATATGTTCTCTTAGAGGAGCTTGTAATTTGATAATTCTGATTAGTAAGTAATTTATTCCCCAAGGGGAGATGTTGATGTTGATCTCATAACTCTACACATTGCTGTTGAAGTTTTGTTAGATTCTTACATGGAATGCCAAACCATATAAATACAGCAAAATTGGTAACTTTATATGGCGGGAAGTGGTATTTATTAGATTGAAAATAGTGTTAATACAAATCCATGCCAGAGTCTGGTGACCTCTTGAGAATAAGAGAAAAATAGAATCTAGCAAACTGGGAGTCTTGGGACAGTGAATGCGTAATGCTGTTCTTTTTTAATCATGTTTTGTGTATTGCATGCTAACTACTTCCCATGTCCCATAAATGTTGCAACATGTGGACTTTTACACTACTCACACACTATTATGATTTATGCACATGGAAAAAGAGTCATGTGGAATCTTTTTAGATTTGTCTGGATATATACTTTCAAAATACCAACTTTTTATAATATTTACCTACAGATAATTAATGTGTAAAGTTGTGCATTGGGATTTGGGAACTATGAAAACTCTACGTGATGCAATATAAATGGAACGGAAGAAATAATTCTTAGGGTAGATATCCAAAGGTTGTCATAAACTCACACTTGTCCCTTTTTTATTGACTAATTTATTTACTGTTCATAGCATGTGCTGTTTTTTGTGATGCTCTTCTTGGAATTTTATGTAATAACTTTGAATGTAAAAATTAGAGCTAAATCATCTACTTCTAATGCTCATTACAAACCAACTCTTCAAAGGTCTTTATGCAAGTGAATTTTCTCCTATGCAACAACTTAATTCTTCATTTTGGCAATACCATTGTCCCTTTGTTGTTTTCGTCCAATTTTAATTTTAATTTTAATTTTTTTTCATTTTTCATCCTCTCTTCTCAATAGTTTGTAGTTTTGTACACTTGGCCAAGTCCTGATGCACATTTCAGCAATATGCTGATCCTCCATATATGGTAATGACCATATTCTAGTTCATCATGAACCTAGTCTATGTTACTTGGACTTTTCATTTTACAAGGATCCTTGACACTCGGACATGAGTAGAACACTTTGACCATTCATATTGGGCCAAAATCATGGACAAATTTCTCATAAATAGGCGAGTTGAACTTTTGGATACTTAACCATGTCGGATATGAGTACCTAAGTTTGAGCAACATAGCTTGACCCTAATTAAAAGGGTTTTTTTTGTTTATAACTTATAAAATTTTAAAAGTTGCAACTCTTGAAATTTGTTCATCAAGTATGGAAATAGAAGTTAATCATTGAAATAAAATCAATGTCAAAATCTTTGGTCACCTGCTCCCGTTAAGTAAGCTTAAAATTGATGCTTAACTGCTGAATACTGGTTGTTATGCTATTTCAAAGAATGAACTTTATAGTATTTCGATTAAGGTCTATTGTAGACAAAGGCATGAAGCTTCGCATTGGCCTCTCTTATTATTAGAGCTTTTCCTATGCCTGTGAAATAGCTACTCATGTAGTCATGTTACCTGAGGGCTTTGGCTTATTGTATATTACTTCTCTTTATGTTTAAGGCTGACAACTTGTTAATGCATCTGGAACTTTGAAGGCTATTGCCGGGGAAGCTGGAGTACCATTTTTCTACAGGGCAGGTTCTGAATTTGAGGAGATGTAAGTGTTCTATCATTGGCGGTTGCTTTTGTGGAAACTAGATACATCCTTTGATAACACTGACACATCTTGGAAGTAAATTACTAAAGTTTTACAAGTGAAATGATTCTTGTAAATATTTCTATGGTATACTAAGTTTTATTCTGGAGATTAACAACCTCACAAACTTGTACTGTGATGTAACTGCTCATAAAAGCAAGTTTTAATTGGATTTTTTTTCCTAAGTCTTAGTGTGCTCTCCTGAAATTGTCTTTTTTCATTTTGTGTGTGCCTTTTGCTACACACTGGATGGATGGTGTTTTGATTCTGGGAAATAATCATCCATATTCGCAAGTTAAATAATATTTTGTCACTGCAGGTTTGTTGGTGTTGGTGCTCGACGAGTGAGGTCTTTATTCCAAGCAGCTAAGAAAAAGGTTTAACTTTTATGATTTACACAATCACTATGCTTTTCTGTCTGTTGATCTTTTGCGTTTTAGTAGCTCTCCTTCATAAATTCTTACCCTTTATTGCTATGAAGCCACAGAGAAAAAAAAAAAAAAAAAAAAAAAAAAAAAAAAAAAAAACCTCCTTGTACTGAGTGGATATTAAGGTAGATATCTTGTTTGTTTAGGATCATTGTCATAGCCCTCGAAGTTAGATTTTTGTTGATTGATCACTATCAGTAGCCTCATTAGTATTATGTCTTGAAACTCAATGTCTTAGGTTGACGGAGGCTTCCCTTCCTTTGAATTTAGAAATTCACTTTAGCCAAACATTTTCTTTTTTTTTTTTTGGGGGGGGGGGGGGGTAGTTCAGCACAATGAGGATTTCGGGCATTTGATGTGCATTCTCAATATTCATCCTGGGATCCACATAATCTCTAAGTAAACTTACATATATTACTGTTTCTGCAGGCTCCATGCATAATTTTCATTGATGAAATTGATGCCATTGGATCAACTAGAAAACAATGGGAAGGACATACCAAAAAGACCTTGCATCAACTGCTTGTGGAAATGGATGGCTTTGAACAGAATGAGGTACATAATAAAAGTTCACAGTAATAGTGCAATATAAATTATGCAATATGCAGTAATTCTTAATTTGATATTTGATGCAGGGCATTATATTGATGGCTGCAACAAACTTGCCTGATATTCTGGATCCAGCTTTGACCAGACCCGGCAGATTTGATAGACATGTAAGTTCCATTATCTTGTTAAAATAACTGAACCTACCTTAAGGTCATCTAAGAGGAAGTAGTCTAGACTCTAGAAAGGTGTTGGCTGTTCTTTAGAGCAAGCAGGTGGCATCCCTTAAACCAAATAGATGTATCTGGAGTTCCTTGATTTCTGGCATTTAGACCTGGACTTTGGTTGATTCCCATTTTTGTTTTATTAAATCTTGAGTTCATTGTCGGGTTGAGGTGGGTATGATGCTCTAAAATATCCAACTAAGCTAACCTTGGACTGAACACTTGTACTAGATTCAGGTACCCCAATATTATCCCAAATGATCAAAATTGTAATGAATACTTATCCATGTTGTCCCAAGCTAGACAACTTGGGGTACCCAAATGGCCAAATTCACAGCCAACTGTCAAAAAAGTCTGGATACTTGTTCTGACAGAAGTCATGGCCCATCTTATCAGAAAGTAAATCTCATTTCGTGAAAACATAAGGCTTATTTAAAAGATCAAATAGTAGTTATCCGTCTTGTGATTGAAATGTTTGCTAAAATATTAAACAAGGTTTAAGAATAAATGTTCCTCATAAATCAGAACCAATAAAGTTCACTAACATGCCATTATTTTTAGATTGTTGTTCCCAGTCCAGATGTACAGGGTCGCCAAGATATCCTAGAGCTTTATTTACAGGATAAACCAGTTGCAGATGATGTCGATGTCAAAGCAATTGCTCGGGGTACCCCGGGATTCAATGGGGCAGGTAAATTTATGTCTGTTTTCCATCACACCAAGAAATTCCACACATTTCCAAGTTTTTGATGACTGAGTCAATTATTCCGACAAATGTTTCCTGTGACTTTTCTACATTACCTTGTGGTACCTCTTCTCCAGATCTGGCTAATTTGGTCAACATAGCCGCCATCAAGGCTGCAGTGGAAGGTGCTGAAAAATTGACATCTTCTCAATTGGAGTTTGCAAAGGACAGAATATTAATGGGTACAGAGCGAAAAACTATGTTCATAACTGAGGATTCCAAAAAGGTGAGTATATAACTTACTAGAAATTTGTACCAAAATGGTCAGCCTAGGAAGATAGTATATCTTGAAGACACTTAATTGGCATATTTTTTAGAAAATAGATCCTTCTACCGTCTCACTGAAAATGGTCATCTACAAAATTGTCTTACACTTATAATTGCGAGAAGTTGCACCTTTTCTATGGGGCAATAGTGTTATGCTTTTAGCAAAATTCTATGCATAGGCTGTTTAGGATGGAGCAATCTGGATGTCTGTGTCAATGATTTACAGTAGACTACAAAATACAAACATGTGCAAAACAACTAAACAAGGACCCCCCCTCAATCCAATTGTACTTGAATCACTAAATTATCTATAAGGGAACAAAAATTTTCAGTTCACAAAGATGAATGGCAGAATAAAGAAAATAGGGATTACAGTAATTCTAATTTAATGCATATGTAGCACAAAAGAAATGAATAAACAAGCTATTATCTACTTGCCCTGTCTGCAGCTTACTGCATACCACGAGAGCGGCCATGCAATTGTAGCTTTGAACACTGAGGGCGCTCATCCCATCCATAAAGCTACAATTATACCACGTGGATCTGCTTTAGGGATGGTCACACAACTGCCTTCAAATGATGAGACCTCAGTTAGCAAAAGGCAACTATTGGCCCGACTTGATGTTTGTATGGGAGGTAGGGTAGCAGAGGAGCTTATATTTGGTCAAGATTACATTACAACTGGAGCCAGTAGTGACCTTAACACGGCGACAGAGCTTGCTCAATATATGGTATGGCTTGGTAAAACTTTTGTTTAGTTATCTTGTTAGAAAGGAAGTACTGGTCTTAAATTTGATTTGATACCAACAAATAAGTTAATACGGAGTATTCATCACATTTAATAAATGCTGGCCCATTGTTTGATTTGCAAGGTAACAAGCTGTGGGATGAGTGATGCAATTGGTCCTGTTCATATCAAAGAAAGGCCAGGTTCAGATATGCAGTCCCGTATTGACGCAGAGGTCAGTCTAAGAATTCCAAATTCTACTATATAGTTAAGGTGTTAGCGTGATGACCAATACTCTACTGGTTATTGTGCAATAGGTTGTCAAACTCCTTAGAGACGCATATGATCGCGTGAAGGCCTTGCTAAAAAAGGTTAGTTAAAAATTTCCTTATCAACTAGCTATCTCCCTACTAGTTAAATACAAAGACAGTACTCGAGATTACTTTAAATAAAAAGACAGTACATTATTTGTTTGTTTAAGATTTATATATTTATATTTAAATAAATGCCCTAACCGAATTTTTAAAAATCATCCGGAGAAACTTACGAATTTCATCTTCTTCGTTTGTGCTTTCCCGTCCTTTGGCACATTCATCGTTGTCTCAATGGTTTGGTGAAATTGATCAACATTATAGTCACGATGTTGAAACTTCCGTTTATGATTATTATTGTTTAAAATGTGTGAATTACATCAATCGGTAGAGACATTTCAACTATTTCCTTGATCTTCTACATTAGTAAAAAAAAATATTGTATCGAGAATTTTCTCCATTCTATTTCCGGAACTCTTTAAGTTCATCCATTCTATTTGCAACTTCGTTAGCCCGAAAATCAACTACGGTTAACATTAAAACAATGTTATAATTGGTTAATCATATTACTTAGATTCTAATTCTAATTAATTGTATCATGTAAAATTGTGTTGTGGCATCCCAATATAAGTTAAATCTAAAGTAAAAAGAAAATTAGAATAATAGCATACAATCTCAATTGCAACATCTTTAGCCGATTTCTTTGCTACAGCAGGCTTCTTCTCAACAATATCAGTAGGCTTCTTCCTGGGTGGCATGTTTATGTGGGCATTGTATTATATTATTAGGGAGTCATGCACTTTTTATATATATAATAAACATTACATGACTTAAATTATATATAAAAAGCGTATGACTCCTTAATAATATAGTACAATTCCCACATAAACATGCCACCTAGGAAGAAGTCTACAGTTGATGATGTTGGGAAGAAACCGCCCAAAATGAAGTCTATTGATGATATTGGAAAGGTGTTTGATGATGTTGGGAAGAAGCCGCTCAAGAAAGAGTGTGTGGATGATGTTAAGAAGAAGTTGCCTAGAAGAAGTCTACTCATGAAGTTGAGAAGAAGCCTGATGTAGCAAAGAAGTCGGCTAAAGATGTTGCAATTGAGGTTGTATGCTATTATACTAATTTTCTTTTTACTTTCGATTTAGCTTATATTGGGATGCCGCAACACAATTTTGCATGATACAATTAATTAGAATTTTGGTAATATGATTAACCAATTTTTTATTTTTTTTAACGTAGACCGTAGTTGATTTTTGGGCTAGCGAAATTGTAGATATGGTATGAATGGACTTCAAGAGTTTCGGGAATAGAATGGAGAAGATTCTCGATACAATAATTTTTTTTTACCAATGTAGAAGATCAAGTAAATAGTCGAAATGTCTCTATTGGTCGATGTTATTCACCCTTTTTAAACAATGATGATGGTAAATGCAAGTTCCAACATCATAACTATAATGTCAATCAATTTCACCCAACCATTGAGACAATGATGAATGTGCCGAAGAGTAAGAAAGCACAAACAAAGAAGATGAAATTCTTAAGCTTCCCTGGATCAGTTAGGGCATTAATTTAAATATAATTATATAAATCTTAAACCAAAAAAATAACTTACTATGCTTCGAGTGTGTGACCCATACCTTTACTGGGAGTCTGGCACAAGTGCTCGAGATTATATTACTTGGACTCTCCACTTCAAGTGTGTGACCCATACCTTCACTAGCACAAGTACTCGAGTCCAAGTAGCGTAGCTTCTTTCTTTTAATCTAGACTAGATTTATTCTTAACTGTGCTGACATTTTTCCAGCATGAGAAGGCATTACACGCTCTAGCTAATGCTCTATTGGAGTATGAGACACTTAGTTCCGAAGACATAAAACGTATTCTTCTTCCATATCGAGAGGAAAGCCAGCTAGTGGAGCAGCAAGAACAACAAGAAGGGGAGCTTGTCTTGGTCTAAAAACCAGTTTCCCCTATTATGTCTTATTGAAGAATTATAAAGTGGAGCTGCTGCTTGTGGAGGTACAAGCAGATCGAAGGGCTGACTGCTCGAGCCATCATTGTATATTGTACACTAACATACAACCTTGATACACTAAGGCAGCTGCAACAATTCCTTTGCTAATGGTCGTCTTTGTTGTATTATCCAATGGGTTTGCCACGCCGATCATCTTTGCAGACCACTTTTACAGAGAACTTCTAGGCTCTCAGCGAAGAATCGTGGGGCTTTCAGTAAACCTCAGTGTCTTGGGGAAATTCTGTGTAACTTATTATTTTTTCTATATCTTGATAGATGATTAGCAGAAATTGTCCATATAGCTGGGTCAGCAAATGTTCCTCGCATCTTATACATCCAGACATCCCAATCATATGCGCCATATTCTTCGTATTTTAAATTTGGTACTTTTATAAATTGAATAAGGAAAAGTCTATTTTGTTATACGAACTTATGTACTATTAATATTATTATTTCAGTTTTATTTTATTTCTTACATTTTTCAACTTATACGAGTTTAGAGAAGCTAATCAAGCGGCGGACTGCTTTGTTAACCAGGATACATTATCATAAATTTGTCGAATCACTTACTCTTTCAAGTGTTTCATTTCAACAAATTGTGATTTAAAATTCCCTTTGTGAAAAAAAAAAGTACCCAAATATATCGAGGCTGTCCCAGTTACTCAACATAAGAAACAAAATTTGTTTCTAAAGAGGTTAAATTTGTAAGGTAACAGGAAAAAAAAAGCGCTTTTATTTATGTCTTTGCCATTTGAAAAACATAGTTTGTTTCTCATGTTGAGAAACTTGGAATTTCTCAAAAATGTCTCCTCTCTCAAAATAGAATGCAGAAATTCTGTCAATTACCATTTAAAAAAAAGGCTTGGGAACCAAATTATTAGGATAAGAAAGTTCATTTGACATTCTCACTAGTATGAAATTACATAACTACCCCTCCTATACGTATAACATTTAGTTTTATACCAATAAACGTACTCTTAAGGAAAACATTGCGTAAACAATTCTAAATCATCATTTTTGATGTAATTAAAAAAAAATAAAAAAAATAATTTCTTTAAACCTTTCCCTTAAAAAAATTCCTTTTGAGATCCAATTAAACAATTGAGATATTCCAAATGTAGTTGAATGGGTAAAATTGTAATGCCTAAGCCTAAGATAGATATAGATAGGTAGATTTGTCTAGGAACAGAGTACTCAAACTTATAATAATAATTTAAAGTGGATGCCTCTCCATTATCTAAACAAAACAACCTGCTCCTCTGCATCATTCACCTATAATAAATAAATAAATAAATATATATCATCCGTCGCTTTTGTTTAGACTGGTAAGGCACTAACTCGAATCGAGTTGAACCATATAAGTTTTCGGCTCAATAGAGCAATTCTTCTTACCTTACTATATACTCCGTAATACAAGTACTTGAGAATAATAATGCAGAGTAGTAATAACCTAATCTAATTTAATATATATATATATATATTATATAAATAAAGTAGGCATTTTTACAGAGCATTCGGAGCTCACGTAAGGAATATACTTATTTCGACAAATAAGAAGAAAGATTTGTATTTTATTTTTGAATTAAAAAATTATGTCGCCACCTAGATAAAATTAATGAATTAGATTTAATATATCTAAAAAATTTAATGCCACGTAGTTTATAATACACGAATTAAATTATTTTAATGAAAAAAATAAAGTAAAAATATAGGAAAAGATAAATCTATTAATTCAATACTACGAGTATAAGAAATCCAAAAAAAAATATACTAAAAAATATCTAAATGATAAACGGTTATAATAAAGTTTGATACCTATCATTATAAGATAAATTTTGATAGTATTTATGATAAGAAATACAAATTGTTCGTTAATTATAATTAAATTAAAATTTGTGATACCTACTATTATAAATTGACAAATCTTACGACACAAACAAAATTTCGTATTAATAAAAAAAACCCATCAAGCGAATTTTGTGTTATTTTTTTGTCATCAATGGCCGGGTAATTTTTAAAATCCTATGTTTAAATTAGTATTTCTAATTATTTTACATGCAGATCTAACACATCATACGACACAAATAAAATTTCGTATCAATACAAAACTCCATCAAGCAAATTTTGTGTTAGTAATTTTGTGTTAGTTTTAGGTCATCAATGTTCGGGTAATTTTTAAAATCTTATGTTTAAATTTATATTTGTAATTATTAGTTACATTGTATTTATTTAGGATACTTAACTATCATTTGTTTATCTAATGGCATACGATTAGATGTTGTATATTTAATATATGGATGACTTTGGTTATTTTTGGAGATGATGAAAAAATTCCAATGCATAGGTTTGATTTTATATCGCAACAATTTATCATTTATTGGTAAATATATTGATTTATTTTATATAAATGTAAAGATTTAATTTATATCAATTTCAGTTTGGCTAACATTTCACGGTTCAATTTATCCATTGATGTAGTAGGTTGGTTGTAGACGAGGTTGGTGATTCTATCGAAATAAAAGATATGGTAAAACAATGAATAATGATTTAGGATTTAAATTATTAAAATTTATCATTTCATATAAAAGATTTTATATAATGGAAAAAATATCATATTTACAATTTATTTATATTTAATAAATTCATTTAAATTTTAGTAAAAAAAAAATAAATATTAAACTTTTTTAATTTTGTCTGAAATTATTAAATACAATTAATCAAATAATTAAAACATTGTATATGAAAAAACCGTGTATCGCACGGGCTTCTATCTAATAATAATGGAAGAATATTAAAATAATAAGAAGAAAAAAACTGCAATCACAAGTAGGAAAAGACTAGTAGAAACTAAATATGGGGGCCTGTAACACTTTATACTCGGTTTAAAGGGACACCCACCTCACAATGTGCTAAAACAGTTCCATCTAGAAGCTTCTCGGAAAACCTACAACTTTGACAATGAATTTCAATAACCTGTACACTTTCTTTTAGGGAAGGGATGAAGGTGATGGATGAGAGCTTAGCTTTCTACCAAAGGCGGCCACCGCTAACATCAAGGTACCGAAAGCATGGTGAGACTAACATACAAGATGTTCTTAGGAGAGTTATCCTAACTAGCTAACATAAGATTAAAAGAAAAATAATTGACCATAAGTTTATGACAACAATGACAGTAATTCACAAATGACGATAAATTTATGGTGAACTGAAAATGAGAAACACTACTTACAAGCCTTCCTATACCCTAATGTGATTAATTGACTACCTATCAGAACACCTCTATAATTCTCTCCACAGAAGCTATAATACGACGACAAAGATCTACAATCACCCGTTTAATCACATGTTTATATACAACTATAAAGCATGGACGCACAGAATGAGACTGTAAAGACTTGAGAACGACAGTTTCCAATTCTTTTCGTCTTCCATGAATGTTTTTAACACACTTCTAAAAGTTGTGATTTTTGGACTGCCTAAAGGTGGAAGTTCGTAAACAGGAACTGCAGACAGCAGTCGTTTCTAGCAGATGGAAGAACCAGTCAACCCCAAGGCCTCTGCAATCCGAACACCTTGGTAGCTTCATTCATGGAGAGAAAAGATATCCTCCCATCACATCAGGCTTCTAATCACATCCTATCAATAGGCTCGGTTCTGTCTTGTACAGCCAAACGTTCAGAGACATCAGCAAGAGACTTAAGATTGCACTTGATTAAAGCTTCAACAAAAAAGCATGTTTCATCCTTGGTGTTGCCTTCAGGTACATCAACCACAAACGACTCGATCACCATTGTCCCAGGCCTACCCTCAATGATCTCTGGATGTAGAGACACCACAGAAGAGTAGTTCTGAACAAGAGAAACGTGACTTAGACAAGGTAAAACTCTGTACATACAAAAGGATACATAAATGTAAAGGCAACATACGAAGGTAAGATAAGATTCCCAATAACCTCTTTTCTTTTTAGCAAGAATCTTATAAATTGAGAAAGTTGCATCCACCAAGTACTCAGCCAAAGATTCCAAACATATGACTAAACAGTAAATACCATACTAAACCCTAATTCCAATACTCCTCACCAGGCAGTCTATAGTTTTTTGTCCTACATTGTATATGCCAAAGAAGCAGGCGTCCAAAATAAAATAAACTCCAACTATTCCATTTTAATAGTAAGATTTTTATGAGCATATATCGTCAACCAAAAAAGAAAATCATACATTGAAGATACAATAACATGAAGAACGAACCCTGATACTGCCCCTGGGTAGAGCACAAGAAGGGAAGGTTTTGGATCAGGACCTAATTATGTTGAATGTTCTCCAACAACCAAACATCCCTCCGAATTGATTTCAAAGGCCTTGCAGGTAACAAAATGACCTACAATAATAACATAATACAAAGGACTTGCAGGAAACAAATTGACCAAAAATAATAACAAATGCAGAGGCCCTGCAAGTGAACAAAATGACCTACAATAAAAACATAGTACAAAGGCCTTGTAGGAAACAAAATGACCTTCAATAATAACTAGTGCAGAGACCTTGCAGGTGAACAAAACGACCGGCAATAATAACAAAATGCAAAGGACTTGCAGGTAAAAATGTCATGACCTACCATGATAACAACAATCAATATCTGTATTCAGCATCCTCTTCCCTTTTTCTCCACCGATTGTTAAAATGAACATATGCCATAGACCATAACAAGATGTTGGATACCATTAGTTAATCATATATGCGATATAACCAACTCAGAGTATAGACCCCCCCCCCCAACCACCACCACCACCACCAAAAAAAAAAAAAAGAAAAAGAAAACTGCACTGAAACCAAATCACTCCAAGACGTTCATTCATCATCATATAGAACAGGATCGACTTTGAAAAATTCAGAATAATTAACAAAGTATTACATAATTAACGGTGTTCTGGAACCCAAACCGAAACACCATTTCCCCAAACACGCACAGAGCTACACATGCACATAATAAAGCAAGAAATCATAAAGTGGAAGTGCCGTACCTTTAGCCTATGATCTCCACCAACAATTCTGATACTGAGAACATGCTCATTGTCATCCAGAACCTCCAACCTCTCAGTGCTTGTAGTCGCTGGCAGCCCTGATTTAACATCAACCTCTCTTACACTTCCAATCTCAAGATTTCCCTGCACCACGCATCTGCTGATAAATGGCTTATACTTCTGGGGTTGATCAAATCTCCTCACTAAAGACCAAACCTGACATGCAAACACTACATTAATAGAAGACAAACAATTATACAAAACTTCTAACAGAATTCGACAAACGCTCAAACGCTAATCGCATCCATATGAACAGCATGATCAATCATCGATACGACTTTAAATTCTAACTACAAAGTCCCAACTTCATAACCATTATCCAAAATCAGAAGGGCGATAATTTCCCCCGTTTACTCCCATTTCAAAGGTATCAAAAATGTTGAAACAATTGCTAACTAATCAGTCCAAAAGTAGAAACTATCTTTATAACACAGCCACTTTTTTATGAAACTCAACAACCACATTTCCTTTTCAATTGCGATATGATTTTTTCCACAACTATGAACAAATAATATCCCAGATTTTAATATTCATTTTTTTTAATTTTTTTTTACCAAATATTGATCCCAAGATTATATGCTCAATTCCCAAGAAAATAAATGCCTCATTAATCAAACTACAAAATATAACCAATTAAATAAACCCCATATTTACTAAAATCCATAACAACAAATGGATCAAACTAACTAAATAAACACACCCAAAACATCAAATTCAAACACCCCCAAAAAAATAAAAAAATCAAGAATCAAAATCATGATTTAATCTGGATCCATCCAACAAAAAACAATCAAAGAAAACCCAAAACAAACAATCAAAACATCAAAAACAAAACAGGAAATTAAAAATTACCAAATGAACAGGAGCTTTAATGTGCTTGATTAAAACAGAGCTACATTGATTATCAGCAGGTTCATGCTTATGATGTATCTTAATGTACTCTTCTTCAACTCCACCATATCCGTTTCCGTTCATCATCCCTTTATTCTTTCTCTTCGAAATTGAAATTCAACCCTAAAACCAGCGATTAAAACTTCGCCGGAAAGTAATCTCCGGTGGTCGGAAAACCGGCGATTGAATCGATAAACAAACGAGTTGACTCAGTAGAAAAGATTAACGCGCTACTACCACCATAGCCAAACAATCTCAAGCTTTCTCTCTCTTCGCTATCAATTTTCTCTCTCCTCTTCTTCTTCTCTTATGAGTGTTTGTTTTTACTCCACTTTTTTTATTTTCTTTTCTCTTTTTTTTTTGGTGTCTGCTTTTCTCGAAGTCTCAACCTCATCGCCTGGGATTAAAAAAGAAGTTAGGCAAATAAAGACAATGAATATTTTATTAAAATAATTTATTTTTTTTTTAACAGGAAATTTTTTTATTTTTTTTTAACAGGAAAAAATAAATTAATTTTGTTACTGAGGGGGTACTTATGTAACTTTAGTGGGTTGAGTTGGAATTGACGAAAATACCCTTGTGTGCGCATCTTTTTTGTGTTTTGTCTGTTTGTGGATTTGGTAAATCTGGTCAAGGCTATTGGTTGAGATTTGATGTTGCTTATTGTGGTAGGTTTGGCTTAACTTAACCACCTTTCATAGCCTCAATTTAGTCCTCTTTTGGAAATTTTCACTTAGGAAGTCCTTTACCCTCTAAAGTATCTTGAATTTATTTCTTAGTAGTTTGAATTGAATGGTGGGGTCACAGTTTTTACGGATCTGTGTCGTGTGAGTTTCACAATCATTTATTGTTTCAACGCTATTTGTGGCTGATTTGAGTTCTCAATCTAACAGTTGTTTTCTGCTAAATCCAAAAATTTCAGCTCACTGATTCCTTATGGGGGATGTTAGTTAGTTTTCAACACATTGTCATTGTATGACATACTGTGTTGTGTCTTACGTGTTGTGATTTTCTATGTCTTTGTGACATGTCTGTTTATTACATACATCTGCTGTCGTTGGATACTGAATTAAGTTTTAGGATGCTTGTTCATGTGATAATTATAAAGTAAGAAAAACTTTGGATTTGAATTCTAATTTAGACTAATTAGATTTGCCATAATGTCTTAGATGTGATCAAGTAACAAAACAAAAGTGGTTACAGTCTTTATTACGAATTAGGTAATTGTGAATTGAGTTATGACTTTATTATTACATGATAAGAGCATATTGTTGATGGTTCATGCTTTTCCACAAGGTTCACTTGCCGACAAACATTGTTATGCAATCCTTGCGTTTATAAACAAACACTAAATGATGCAATTCTCACGTTTATTAAAGAAAAATATGGGAAGTTGATAAAGCAAACAAACTGCCCTATAAATATCATGAGCAATATATATTGTCTTATGTGATGATTTTCGGGTATCATTCCATTTGTTAAAAGGCTTAGAAAAGACAACGATCTTAAACAATATTTGTAATGTTATTTTTACCGCATATGTTGTTATTGGTAATGTAGAATCCAAAGAAAGACAATTTGTTGTTACTTGCATAACAATAATATAGAAATCACCTCCAACCTGAAAATTTGAAAAAGAAGCCTTTATTTTAACTTTATACATTATATTATAAGTACTAAGTTATTTTATATATATGTTGGTAATTTTATATATCTAACTAATGGATTGACTATTAGCGGGTAATTAAACATGCAACTCATCATAAATTGCTAGAGTCACATACGCTTTGACATAAAAGGCAATAAATTAACAACAATCCAACCCATTTGTTATTATTATACATATATATGTATATTTTTTTTTTTCTGAACTCTTATTCTTTTAAAAATAATATTGATAATACTTTAAATCTCTCAAACACTAATTCGCCGAAAGCAGTCATAAAAAATATCATGAAATTATGCTTGAATAAAAGCCACATTTGGAACTACGTACCCTAGTTTATTCCGTTATATACATAACTTCCTTGGATCCAAACCAACCTGAAATAATTCAACAAATTTGGCTCAAAGGTTAATATTATATCATCTATTTCTTTAATATGCTTCGATTATTAGATTTCACTTACCCCTCCTTTATTGAGTCATGCTCAATTATTGAGTCCATACAAGTTGAAATTTGCAGTTTGATTTTATCGGGTCTGGCCGACCAAGTCGATTTTTGACAAAGCTACCTCCCTCCCCCATCCTCAAATGTCCCACCTAAGTATCGAACCTCATTAAACCCATTGAAAAACGTTCACCTCATAGCACTTTGACTTGTCATCAAAACGAAATCTTATTCTGGTTTTGAAGTGTACCTTAATGCAACAAATTTAATTAATAGTTAGTCAAATGTAACTAAATATTGTCTTCGTTGTTTTTTTTTCCTTTTCCTTTTTTTTTTTAATTGCAGAACTTTGTGTCTTTACCTTACATAGAAGACAAAATAACTCCTAATAAATACTCGTATTTAATTTCAAATCTTGGTTTTAAAGCTGGACATGGGCTGAACTGGCACGCGGGATGCCCGACATGGCGTCATGGCCCGGCCTGACACGAGCACGACAGCGGCACGATACGGCATGTGGAACGGTCGGTGGGCCGTGCCGTGAACAAGGAAATTGAAATTTGACATGAGCACGACACGAGCACGGCGGGCGACATGAACACCAGCCCGTCAGCACGGCCCGCCAGACACGATACTTTTATAATAAAATTAATATTTTTTAACAAAATAATAAAGCAAATATAAAAAATAATAATAAAAAAAATAAATAAATGGGGGGGCCGACATGACACGGCACGCTAGGCACGTGGACCGTGCTGTGCCGTGGACCGACTCGTGGAAATGGCTAGCACGGCACGGCCCGGCCAGCCACGGCACCCAGCTTTACTTAAAAAAGGGGAAAAGAAAGTGCAACTATTACGAAGTGTATGTTTTTTCATTTTTAAAGTGGTCAAAAAGTCAAAATTCCCGGAAATTGCAACGATCACTGCAAAAATCACACACTAAACCTCTGTCTACTGCCTTCTATTTCTCTCCCTCGATCTCGTTGGTTTTCGGAAGGTTAGTTTATTTTTCATGTTAAACTCAAAAATCTCAATTTGATTTACCAGTTTGTTGATTGTTTCGTTCAATTAATTTGTGGGTTTGAATTTTTCATGTTTGCGATTCGGTAATTAATTGGGATTTGTTTAATTTCGGAGGTTGATTGATGAGAAATTGTAAACCTATTTATTCAAATTAAGCTGACTTTTTGTGGATTAGGGTTTTCAATTTTGTGTTGTTGATGCAGCGAAGGAATTTTTAAATTAGGGTTTTTCGTGTATCGTCTTCTAGATGATAGATAGGTTAGTGGGAAGATTTTGAAATTCAGATTTTATTGGGATTTTGAAGGAGAAATTAGTTAGGGTTTAATGATTGTCAATGGGCATGTAAATTTGATATCTTTATTATAATCACCAATTCACCATTGCTTGTAAAATGTATTTACCTCCAATTTCATGGTTACATAGGCAATGATGATGAATTTGATTGTTTGTTTCATTTGCGTTTTTACTATAAATAATTTACGTTGATCTTTTGAATGCAGTAATCTATAGATTTTGGTGTTCCAGCATCTTTTCGCTTTCGTCAGGTTTTAGGTCCTTGTTGATAAACACACTGGTAAGTAGAATGACTTAATATACTCGTATTACACTTTATGTTGTACTGAACTACTAAACCGGAAGCAATGGCATCCTTATACAGGAATTACTTAGAAGTCTGACAATATGCACGGTGGCTTTAATGTTCCGAATATGTCGGGTACACTTACATCTCGAAATTCATCCATGAATAGTGTCGCTTCTGGTGGGGTTCAACAACCAACAGGGAATGTTCCAGGGGGGAGATTTGCATCAAATAACATCCCAGTTGCTCTGTCTCAGGTTTGTTGTTGCTGTTAAGGTTATGATTGTTCGTAAGTTTAATGCATATTGCATATGGGCCTCATATTTCATTTCCTATTTTGGTAAAAATTCCTTTTCATTTGTAGATGTCTCATGGGAGCTCACATGGTGGATATTCAGGAGTCACAAATAGAGGAGGTATGAATGTTGTAGGAAGCCCTGGATATAGCAGTAATACAAATGGAGTTGGTGGCTCTATTCCTGGGATTCTCCCCACCTCTGCTGCAATTGGTAATCGTAGTGCTGTTCCAGGCCTAGGAGTCTCCCCTGTGTTGGGAAATGCCGGTCCTCGAGTTACTGGCTCAGTGGGAAGTATGGTAGGCAGTGGCAACATTGGGAGAAGTATAGGTTCAGGTGGAGGACTATCTGTGCCTGGCCTTGCTTCTCGCTTGAATATGTCTGCAAACAGTGGATCTGGGAGCTTAGGTGTGCAAGGACCAAATAGATTAACCGGCGGTGTACTTCAACAAGGTATCACATCTAACTCATCATCTTTTATCATAAACCTTGGGTGGTTGAGTTTCAACTTTCAAGGTTCAACTCCAAATTATCCTTACACAATGTCGTAAGGAAGAAAGGATTGTTGATGGACTTTGAAGAGTAATTCTGGGTGTGAGATAAATTTTTTTTTTTTTTAGTACATGCAAAAATCGTTGACCTTAGTTCCAAAAAAGACTGTTCAATCCAAGTCTGGTTATATGTTTACCATATTATGAAAAAGACTTAGGAGGTAACAGAATTGTTGCTGGTAGGAACAAAGTGTTTATGTGGATAATATTATAATTTGAGACAGTTCTCAGAAAATATTTTTTTGGATGAAGATGATAGGAGGATTAGTAGGCTTGGTGTTGTGTTGAAATTGAAATTTAAAAACCCTTGTGGTTTAATGACTTGGAGATTCTTGGATAGGGAAAACCTCTGGTCAAACCTCTCGCAAATTAGCTGGAGTTTGTGAAGGGAGATAGAAATTGCAACAAACCTGCTTAATCATCTGTTACTATTTATGGATATTAATTTTTGATTTGATGTGATCAAAATCCATTGTTAATATACACTGAAAAAACTATATCTACATATCAAGCTATCAATTCTTGAGAACAAAGTAGGAGCATTTAGTTAGGGCTTATCAGTGGCCACGCTTTACCTTAATTCCATTTTTTAAGCTTGCGTTGAAACCCCCCCGCGCGCACGCGTATCCCAAGCCTATTATTGTCAGTAAGCTTAAGAAAACTGAAATTCATATTTGATAGTTGATTATTGTGACGAAACCCTAAATTTAAATTAGGATAGAGTCTCATGACCTCTTTTCGTTTTTTTTTTTTAATGGTCTGACTAGTTAGACTCCCAACTTATACGAATATTGCCATTATCCAAGTTTAGATAATGTAGTGATAAATAGGATTTGGGGAATAGATGAAGGAGGCTAATCAGTGGTTGTCTTTCTTTGTCTCATTTCTCTTTACCATTGGTGCTTGGACTGTGTCTCATGAGCAGAGGGTGAGAGGCAAATTGACCTTTAGTCCCTCTTTTTTTGTTTATCTAGGTAGTGGCATCTTGACTTAGATGGTCGCTGGAGTGTCCTGGTTTCCATGTAGTTGCCACTGTCTGATGGTATTATTTTGTTCCTTTTTAGTGTTGGGGAGAATATTAGAAATGTGTTTACTTTATAGCAAATTTTTGAGTTTATTTATGTGCTTTAAATTAATCTAGGTAAGCATAGTTTCATGAGAGTTGATGTGGATCTTATTGCTCTTGATAGATTCGCTTATATGTTAGGTTTCGGGACCAAGTATTGTACTCTTATCTGGGAGTTCATGAGGCAGGATAATCCCGTACATTGTGTAATTTTGGACGGGCCATACCCTGGGGCTTGGTAACTCAACCTTAAAATGCTGTTCTCTTATTAGATAAGCCGAGAAAGAAAAGGATAGCTGGATTGGGACAGTAAGTGTTAGCATAGGAATTACGAAGAGCAAGGTATTGTTTTGATGACATGACCTCCCTTTCTAGTGCTGCAATGAGCTCCCTCAGTGTCTCACACAGCAAACAGCTGTCCTTTTTCCCACTCTCTCCCCTTCCTTCAGAAATTGTTCCAAACAGATGCTGCCTAAGAGCCCAAATTGCTTTTAGTGGTAAGGCTCATCTTACTTTCCTAACTACTTTCCTTCATTTCTTCTTGGATTTTGTTCCTATTCATTCCCCAAAAATGATCTTTTGTCATCTCCTCAGTGGAGCATCCTGATGCCTATTAAGCAATTAAGTTGTGCTACATTAGCATATGTTTTCAAGTTATACACCCATCTCATCTCTTACCACTTACTTTCTATGGCCGTTTATTGCTGTAATGTTTTGATTTTTGCACTAATCATACTCTAAATATGACCATTATTTTAATTCAATATATAACAAAATGCTACTATTTAATATGTTGTTTGGTTAGTGTCAATGTGTTTTTCTTCTACATAATATCAACATTTTATCATATTTTCCTGACAGATATAGTAAATATTTATGAGCAAGATTATGTGTTAGCAAGTTCAAAGGTTAAATGTTGCCAAAATAAATAAAAATAAAAAGAAAAAAAACTGAGGCAATTTTTCATTACTATATACAAAGTGTGTGTGTGTATTCTGTCAAGTTCTCCAAGGACTTTGCCCTCATCCCTTCACCTCTCTCTTTATCAAGATCTGGAATAGTTTTCCAAGGACAGATATAGTCAATGTTTTGACTTTCGCCACTCAAATCAATAGAGCTTTCTAAAGAAGTTAAATTGATGTAAAATTTGATTTTCTTCTGGTAAGAATTCTTCCAGGCTTGAGGTTTCTTTTATATATTTTCTTTTGTTACACTTTTACAAAGCGGAAGCAAGGCTGCATTCCTAGCTTGTGTACAGAGGCCAGTAGCAAAACCTAAGCACAAGACTAAGAAATCTGCCTAGGAAGAATACAGAATATTCTTAGGAATAAGAATAAATCTAGGAGAGATATTTACAGTAGGGGAAGAGTAATTACCAACTCACCATACTACTCTCAATACTTTCCCTTGAATTTGATCGATATATCCTTGTTGCAACCAACTCTCAATATTATTATTATTTTTTAACCTGACACTTGTTTATTAGTACAATCTATTGTATATTTGTTAGTTTCTCTGTTGTGCTGATTGACTGGCTGAAGCTATTTACATAGGAATTTTAACTTTCCTATAGTTATTTTAACTGGTTCAGTTCTACTTTCTAAGTCTGGGACATTTCTTTATTTTCTTCCAATCATTTTTTACCCAGTGCTGTTTTTAACTAAATACAATTTCTAACTGTACATAGCTCTTGCTAAGATTGTACTACCTTCTATAGCTCTATGTCGGATAAATTGTTTGTTAATGTGACATGGTTAATGCCTCAAATGTTGCATATGGACCTTGTTTATTTTGAGGAAGCTATGGTCCAACTTATGCTATGCTGATGACTATTTGGTTCCAGCTTCTCCGCAGATGCTTTCTATGTTTGGAAACTCTTATCCTTCTGCCGGGGGCCCTCTTTCGCAGAACCATGTCCAAGCAGTGAATAATTTAAGCTCCATGGGAATGTTAAGTGATGAGAACTCCAATGACGCCCCTTTTACTTTAAATGACTTTCCTCAGTTAGGTAGTCGCCCTAACTCTGCTGGAGGTCCACAAGGACAAATAGGTATAGTCTTTTTTTTTTTTTTTTTTTTTTTTTTTTTTTTTTTTTAAAAGATTCTTTAGAATTTATTCCTGCAGCTTTAGATAATTGGTAATTATGCCAGGTTCTCTGCGAAAACAAGGCCTCGGAGTTAGTCCCATTGTTCAGCAAAACCAGGAATTTAGCATCCAAAATGAGGATTTTCCTGCCTTACCAGGTTTCAAAGGTTTTCCCTGCTCCTTGCTCTCAACCCCAAATTGTCTCCTCGGGCTTATTTACTGCTTTGGTGGATATGGTTTATCATTATATTGACTGTGATTGTGAAGGGATGTTGATATTTTTAGTTATTTTGTTGCTGCTGAGGTTAAATATCTTGAAATTAATCCCTTTGTCCCAGTTTCTTGGATATTTACACCTTTTGAATTGGACTAACCTAGGATTGGTATGGGTGCTATGTTCCTTTACTATATATTCTTCAAATAAGTTGCATTTTCTTTATAGTTCCCCATATTGGACAAGTTTTTTTTTTACATGTATTGCTGATCTTTTGGCTAGCCAATGTGGTATATTTAACTTCCTTTGTTTATCTTTTCTTCCCTTTTGCCAGTTTTGAATGCTCTAATAATCTGCCAACTTCTTTATTAAATGGTAATGTTTTTTGAACTTCCTTAGTGTCTGTTGATTAATAAATTAGCTTTTTCAAGTTAAGAGTACCAGTGCTTTCAAAAGGGTAAAGTTGAAAACTGATGGTACCTATCACAACGTTGAGTTTAGACTCGTTTACTGATGTTCTCTGAAGAAGTTGTATTACAAGTGATAAATTCAGGATAAAGTTACTATAATACTATATCATTAGTTAGTTTCAATAATGACTATAGATGCATTTACTCTACAACACTGCATGAATTTGCTGTCATGTATGGTTCATGCCACTTGCTAGTATAGAACAGAGAACATCAGTTTTCTGACATTTCTCAGCTTAGGTTTTTTTTTTTTTGGGTGGTAGCATCTAGCTTTCTGTGATTCTGAATACATATCAGAGAAAGATGGCTGTTTTTACTTGGTATATTACTTTTACTAATACCTATTATCTCTTTAATCACTTTTTTTTGTAGTAAAAAAGAATTTTCTTTCATCGATTGGGAATTTGATTCTTGTGCTGCTTGGAATGTTGATTATAAGATTTTTGTAGTTTTAAGGAATAATTGTAATGAAATCTGATTCTTGTGCAGGTGGAAATGCCGATTATGGGATGGATTTCCAGCAAAAGGAACAGATTCATGATAATGGTGTACCAATGCAATCTCAACACTTCTCTGTGAGTACTAGTTGATTATCGAGATATAATTTTGCATTTTAGGTGTTATCTTTACTACTTCAGCTGGTTTCTTGGGAGATGTATGTGCTCTCTTATTTCAAAGATTTATGTCTAGATGGGAAGATCACCTGGCTTCAACTTAGGAGGAATGTACTCATCACATCGTCCACAGCAGCAACAGCAACATTCACTTTCGGTCAGTAATTTTCCCTTGCTTCTGTTGTATAAAAATTTTTGCATCTAAAATTCCCTGTATATTTCGGGACACTTACGGGTTTAATACAAGGCCGAATGGATCTTTTGAAAGTTTTTGGGGAATCAAGCTCTTTTACCAGTTAAAAAGTTGTGCCAGAATTGTATATGAGGCATCTTATCACTAGTAATTGGTTATGTGTTCGCAGTTCTGTTTCTGCTGATTAGATTAATGGAGAGGACCTAAATTTTAATCTCCATGTTGCCTGCATAAATTTTTGCATAGGCAATGTAGCAGTTAAGGTAAAGAAATGTCAAGGGTGGATGGTAGAGAGATGCTTACTATATCTAGATTAATTTTCTTCCCTTCCCCATAACTAACACTGCCAGAAATATGAGCTTAAGAGTAATAAAACCATTTTTTTTTATTTTGAATAAATACTTGAGGATTCAAAAGATATTTAATATTGATTTAAGAGATGCTAAATACACATACTGGACCAATTAGTATGAAAGTTATTTGACTAAACTTGCTGTAAATGTTCCCTTGCTGAGTGTAACTATGTTATAAAGCAATGTATGGGGAGAGAGGGGGGGGGGGGGGGATAGGTAGTCATTATGAAAGAAAGATTATCCTTTTTGATTTATTCTAATATTGCAATTTTGTTATGGTACAGAATAGCATGCCCCCTGGCATCAGCCTAAGGTCCATGAACACTCCGGGTGGGATTTCTAATATGAATTCTTACGAGCAGCAGTTTATGCAGCAGTATCAACAACATAACCAGACACAATTTCGCCTTCAACAGTTGCCATCTCTCAATCAAACTTTTAGAGATCAGGGCGTAAAGCCAATACAATCTCCACAACCTGCTCCAGATCCATATGGATTACTTGGCTTATTGAGTGTGATAAGAATGAGTGATCCTGATCTGACATCTCTTGCCCTTGGAATTGATCTAACAACATTGGGATTGAATTTGAATTCATCAGAAAATCTTCACAAAACTTTTGCCTCCCCTTGGTCTGATGAACCAGCCAAGGGTGAACCTGAGTTTATGATACCTGAATGTTATCATGAAAAACAACCTCCTCCACTAAGTGTGAGCTGCTTGAAACCTGTTGTTCCTCTTTGTTATTAGGTTTTCTTATTTATGCTCTTCTAATAGTTGTTTTGCTTGCAGCAAGCTTATTTTGCAAAGTTTCAGCTGCCAACACTGTTCTACATATTTTACAGGTAAATCTTCTAGCGGAGGTCCTAATTCTATCATCTATCTCAATTTTTGAGCTGTTGTTGATTAAATTGTTTTCCATTTGCAGCATGCCAAGAGATGAAGCCCAGATATATGCAGCCAATGAACTGTATGCTCTTGTCTTGATTGTTCTTTATACATGTGATTTAGTTCATTCTTCATTTTCGATCTGGCTCTTTTCCTCTTCTTCTCTACCCCTGAGTTTCTCCTGTGCCTAAAGGTTCTAATCCTATTAATGACATTTGAAGCAAATTAGAAAATCCCTTCATTATATATATACTAGATTGGTTTCCTGTGCTGTGCATGAGCCATTTTTTTTTTAAGAAATTACAACTATTAACACTCTCTTTTAATTGATTCTTTTAATATTATGGCTATGAGACTCGTGAACTATGACACAAAGCATAGACGCTAAGTTTGATATGTTATATTAGTATGTAGTTTCACAAAATACCTTTCAACATTTGAATGATACGATCTATCTATATGTATTTTCTATTAAAACATGAAGAGGGCCACTCTGTAATCAATAGAGATGCCTAGTGTCGAATGAGGGTTTATATCAAAAACAAACTTATATATATATGGAATCCACTTAGTTACTTGAGAAGAGTGATAGCGGGATTTAAATGATTTTCTGATGGCACTGGGTGCTTCTGTATGAGCTTCCATGTAACTAAATTGCTTTGGTAGCATAGGAAGATTTCGAATTTTGACATTCAAAGATATGCCAAAAAAAAAAGCCATAAATCATTTGACAACAGTTCCTGGTTGACATCTTTATGACACAATAGAACCAACTGTCTGCTGTGGTAGATTGGTTCTATGGTTTTCTTATTTGGCTGGTAGGGATTTTTGTCAGGAGCCATTTTACTCCTCAAAGAACAAGGATTGAAGCCATGTATAGTAGATTAATTTTTTTAATGTCTTGATCCATATGGCTTGAACATCTGCCCTTACCCCTCAATGTGCTTAAATGTCTATCTCTACTTAAATCATTTCAGAACCCAGTGTTAGGGCGTCACCACCAATTGCTCAACTCATGGAAATATCCACTACCTCTTGGTGTCATAAATCTCACAGCTTTTTTTTTTTTTTTTTTTTTTTTTTTTTTTTTTTTTTTGTTTTTAATCTTTTTTGGCAGCTATAACAGAGGTTGGTTCTACCACAAAGACCTCCGACTTTGGTTTATGAGAGTTCCCAACATGGAGCCTCTTGTTAAGACCAATGCATATGAAAGAGGTTCTTATGTTGCCTTTGATCCCAATACATGGGATACGTCTATTAAGGTATGTAAATTTCTATATACTCACGATTTTATGAAATATACATGAATACAATCTCATTATGGTGTTCTGCTGCAGGAGAATTTTGTTATACATTATGAACTTGTTGAGAAAAGACCAGCTCTACATCATCAATAGGTCTCCTGGTAGATTGTACATTCAGTGGCCGATTATGCTTGGGTTCAGCACCAGCCCTCTAGTGCTGCAAGAAATCTACCTTGTGATAATTTAAAGAAAATTTTGCATTTAATTAGGCATTAATTTTTAGGACCTGAAAGGTGCAAAGCTAATTTCTTCTTTCAATTAGTTACAGAATTGTAAATTCCAGTGTATTATTAGACTGAACCGGATGGTGTAGGTACAGTTTGATTTGGGAGTTCAATAACAAAATCCTGTTGTGTTTTTCCCCATTGTCGGATTTTGAAAGTTTTTAATGTATATTCTTTAGTTTTTAATGTATATTCTTTAGTTTGCAATCCAGCTGCGTTTCAATGTATGTTCATATTAATGTTAGTTAAGGGTGTTATTTTTTTGGGTGTTAGGACTTGGAAATATGTGAGGTTGTGTGGAGTGTAATTGTAAATAGTACTTCCTCTGTTCTTTTTTATTTGACCTGCTTTGACTTTTGCACTACTCACCACGGCAAAATAAACCCCTCATTTGGCCGTGTTTTGTGAATAATATGTAAGTAAAAACATATTAATATTGGATCCTTTTGAATTCGTCTAAATAAGTACTATCTTAATATATAACTTTTATATTTTTTTACTTATGTAGAATTAAAGTTATTGATCGTTAAAGTTTTGCATTGACAAGCGTGATAAAAGAAACAGGTCAAGTAAAAAAGACCAGAGGAAGTAGTTTTTTTATGCTGGTTTCCACTCTTTTTTTGTCCTATTTAAATACACAATATATTTAGGCTGCTGCTTTTTAACCATCAATAAGTAAGAATAGGCCGAAAATTGAACCATCTTCTCCAATTGAGACTCCATCCATTTAAGTGTGGTGTAGAACTTACCGGAGATGAGCCTGAGCTTGGATTGCTGAGACGTGAAATGGATGCATGCCTATTCAACTATGGAGAGAAACATACATAAATACATGCAACATTTTCCAGCTCCCAATTCTCTCTCTAAAAAACCCCAGTACTTAACTCTTCCACCGCTTCTCGCCGGCGATCAACGCTCTTCTTCTTGCCATCGCCGGTGAGCCGTTTCCCGCATAGCTTTCCCCTTTCTAGAATTTCTTTTAGTTTTTTCCCAATAAAGGAGACAAGGGAGATCGCCGTTAACCGTCAATTTCTTGTTTTGGATACGGCTGTCGTCGTCTGTGTTATTCAATTAACCAACGAAACAAGAAGCCAAGGCGAGTCTTAACGCTGGCGTCGAAAGGAATCTTGTTATTTGTTTTCCTGGCGGTAAAGGTGAAGTTAAGGTTAGGGTTTTCCTTCCTTAATACGGAATTAAATTCAGGTGAGGCTTTTGACAACAGGTCGTTGTGAGAGTGTAGCGATGCGGTATCTTTCTTGTAATCTTCTTTTAGTTGTCTCACAAGTAGCTTTGTGAGTATTTCCTCTGCTTTGGTCAGTACCTTTGAGTTTTGTTGTTCCTGGTTTGTCTTATTTTATTTATGTTTTCTTTGGTTGTTGGATTTAGGTTTTCCAGGAGGTACTGTTGTTAGTGCAGGGGGTTTATTTACCCTGTATTTGTTGAGGGGGAAGGTGTTTTTGCGTTTCTTGTTGTGTCTTGGTTACGGGGTGATTTAGGTATCCTTTCAGTTGCTTTCATCCCGTTGTTAGTCTTTGTGATGACATTAATCTAAATCTAGACGGAGGCTCCCCATCTATTTTTAATGTTTGGGGTGAGCAAAGTCATCCAATCTCTTGCTCTCTTTGTCAGTAGAGTTGTAAGAAGAGGAACCACATTTGGGTGTGCAGTTTCTCATGTCAGGGTCATAAAAATCAATGACACTATTGGGTTTGTTCCTAGACTCCTAGGAAGTTGCTATGCTTTCCGAACCCTAAGAGCGGAATGGTGTCAAGGTTTTTGTCAACAGGAGACATTCATCTTTTGGTTGTGTCAACTCTCAACTTCTTTTATCAAGAACTTACATTTGTGGTGTTGCAAGTTTCTCTTCCCTTCCCTAATATCAACCCGCAATCATCGTTCATTTCAAGTTTTTCGGCAAAGGTAAGAATTTGGTAAGTTTTTCAGGCTCCAAAGTAACAGGTACGAAGCACAACATTATGTGAGTTTTCAGTCACTTCAGTTGTCCTCCAATGGTGGTCATGGCAATCCTTGTTTATGAGACGAGTTTAGCGTCTTGCCTCAGCTACAGTTCATAAGTTCTTCCTTTGTTGGTTATGCGGGTGGTTTGATGTTTTTGGTTGTAATGTAGTTTTGTTTAGCTCTTATAGGTTGTAATTTATGCCTTTCGTTATATGAAATCTTTGTCAAAAAAAAAAAATACCTATGGAGAGAAACAAAAAATTTAGAGAAAAATCATAGAAATATGGTTTAAAACTTGATCAAGGGCGGTAAATTTTCCATTATAATAAATCGAGAAAGAGAAACAAGTTGAATTCAAGTTTAATTGGAGGATGAAAATGGAGTTGTTTCAGTCTTAATATTGCCCTTTTTTATATCTTTTTTTTAAAATTAAAAAATTCCCAAAAAATTGATACTTTAACACGAAAAAAAAGGGAATTTGATACCATATAAATGGTTTATACAAATTTTCATATGTGGCTGACCACACCGTGTGGCCCGAGTTACTTATTCAGGGGTCAAGGATTACTCGGTCAAGGGTTATTTATTCAGGCATTAATCGGTTGGTCAGGGGTTGCTCAGTCAGTCCGGGGTTACTTGGTCAGAGGTTGCTCGGTCGGTCAGAGTTTACCCTCACACAGAAAACGCGCTAACCGATCAAGTAACTCAGATTAGGTAACCCTTAATCAAATGAGTAACCCCTAAATAAATAATCCTGAACACACGACATCAAAAACACCTAATTTTAAATAATTTATAAAGCCTGACCCACTCATCAAATACCCATTTATATATTGAACGGATCTGACCCATATATAAGTGGGGCTTTCATTAATGGGGCTCCAACCCATTGAATTGCTCTGTGAATAAGGAAAAAAAAAAAAAAAAAAGACAAAACGGATGAACATAGCCCTGCCTAGTTCCTCCTCCTTCTCTCTCCTCCTTCTCCATTGAAGCGCACTCAACATCGCACTTCACGTTCTCCTTCGATTACTTGTTATCCTCCATTGAAGCTGCTTCTGAGGTAAGTTGTTCTTTCTTTTAGTATTCATCATATCAATTTCACAATCTAGGGTTCATCTTTCGTCTAATTTAATTTTATAAGTGTAGGGTTCGAAAATCCCGACTAATTATGACCCTAATTTGATTATTGAATCACATATCCCTAAAATTATGTGATTTTTTGTGATAATTTGATCAAATTTGGTTGCTAATATTAGGATTGAACTATGCAATTAGACCTCTTTTTCCTGGGCGTAATTATATTTAATTTTTTGTGAATGAGGTGAGTATACAGGTGTTTTTGAGCCTAATTTGATGATTGAATCAAGTTTGGTTGCTAATGTGTTGCAGGTTTTTGATTAGAACCCTTTAATGTTAGGACGGAACTATGAAAATGGACCTTTTAACCATGCGGCCGCCAATCCGGCTGCGGCCTGTGAGGATAGTGATGATGAGGATACCCCATTAGTTTTTAGTAGAAGGAAAACAACTCCAATAAGCTCAGAATTAAAGAATTCTTCTTTGCCACTGAGAAATGATAAGCCGTCGGGGAAGTTGGGTTCCGATGCTAGAACCTTGAATGATCGAGGTTCTAGCCCTTTGAAGGGGAAGACGGTTTCATCTTCGAAGCCGTCTTCTTCAAAGCCAACTCTTGGAACTCAAAAATCTCCACCTCCATCCTCGAGAAACCTAAAGTCACTGCTTTCATCAACTAGACCTTCTCCTTCTCCACCTTCATCAGCTCGACCTTCTCCATCTCTACAACCTTTATCGAATAGACCTTCTCCTCCTTCTACCCGACCTTCTCCATCTCCTCCTTCAACTCGACCTTCTCCTTCTCCGCAGCCTTCATCAAATAGACCTTCTCCATCTCCCCTACCATCTAGGACAACACATAGCAAATTACCTTCCACAAATGGAGCTTCTTCAGCAAATCACCAGCTAAAGAAGGATATACTGGTTAAAGGTGAGAAGCGTTCTCCCGCTGCAGTTAAAGAGGAGAAGCGTGCTCCCGCTGTTATTAAAGAGGAAAAGCTTGCTAAGCCATTAGGTGACGACTCTGATGATTCTGATGATGACAAGCCACTTAGTACAAGATGTTCTGTTGGTTCACAGAAAGGAATTTCCAATATGGCTGAAGGCAAGCCTTGTAGTAGTGATTCTGAGGATGATAAGCCGCTTTGTGCTAGGATAGATAAGGGAAGGGCTACTGCTGGAACATCACAGACTCAAAAGTTAAAGGCCGGGAGTGTGAAACCTTTGTCGACTAAGTTACAGATGAAAGGCAACAGTGGGACCTCTGCTATCAAGCATGATGATTCTGATGAAGACAAGCCATTGTCTTCTAAGCTACAACAAAATGGATCTATTAACAGGGAAACTCAAATTAAGAAAGGACCTGTTAGTTCAATTAAAAGGCCTTCAGCAGATCTCTCTGCTGGTCATTCTTCTATAAAAAAGGCAAAGCTTTCAGATGCATCTACCTCAGGTAAAGCTAAGCAAATACCTCTAAAAGCAAGGGTCAAGGATGATGATGACCACATTCCAATAAGTCAACGGTTGAATAAATCTGCATCAGGTAGTAAATCTGTGCCAGTTAAAAAAATTACTAAAGTTAATTCTTCCAAGTTGAAGAAAGTCAATAAGAAATCAAAGAAAATTATGAAGAAATCGAGTTACTCAAAGTCTTCAAAAGAGCTACCTAATTCAGGTGATGGGCAGAAATGGACAACCCTGGTTCACAGTGGTGTTATATTTCCTCCTCCATACCAGCCTCATGGGGTTAAGATGCTGTACAATGGTAAACCAGTTGACCTCACACCTGAGCAGGAGGAGGTAGTTTACTCACGTGCTTGTAGTTTCTTGATTTTTGACTGTCTCTCTAAACATCTATTAGCTTATCATCCTTTTTTTTCCCTTTACGCAGGTATACTTACTTGTATGCTTCATTTTACTTATTTCTGTTCACAGGTTGCAACTATGTACGCTGTGATGCTTGAGACAGATTATGTACAGAAGGAAAAATTTAATGAAAACTTCTTTACTGATTGGAAAAAACTTCTTGGGAAGAACCATGTGATTCAGGACCTTAGCAAGTGTGATTTTAGGCCGATACATGAATGGCATTTAAGTGAGAAGGAGAAAAAGAAACAAATGACCACTGAAGTAAGTGTGTCAGTTAGAATAGTGATTTTATTTGATATAATATTT